AATAAGTTCATCGTTCTCAGGGCTGGGGAAAGGAATCAGTAAGGATACATCAATAACCTAGCCTCTCTCTCCTAAAAATCTTCTTCCTGCCAGCTATCAGTAACTTTACCATAAACTGAGTTTTCCCTGACAGAGGTAAGGAACCCATAAACTGATAACTGGCATCATTACCTCTGGGCTGGAGTAGTGGAAAGTACTTCAACGAGCTGAGCCATGCCGTCCACGATGTCCAGAGTGGCACCTCGAACCAGTTTCCTCAGCGTGATCCCTAAGGCCCAACCCAAAGAGTAAGCAGCCTGGCCTTTTTTTTTTTTTTCAGAAGTTACCATCTGCTTTCCTAATTGTCAGACTACACAACTTTGAGATCATGGGCACCACATGCTTGAAACAAAGTGCACATGCTTGAAATAAAGTGCTCACACAAAACTTAAATCCCCATGTCATTTTCTTGCCCCTCTAATTACCCTTTAGAAATGTTCTCCAAAACAGATATGGAATGGAATCTCTCCATGATAGCATATATTCATGCATTGAGGACAGCAATCTCCTGATGACAATTATGGTTGAAACACCTGAAGTTTAAACCATTTGTGAAAAACCCTGAAGATCCATGACATGTATCATTTATAATTTTCACTTGACTATAAATCAAGCCATGAATCTACAGGCAGGGATGAAGCCCACTAAACTCATGAAAGAGTTAGGAAATAGGGTGTGATGTAGTACGGAGAGAGGAGAATAGTGAGATCCTGGGCCCAGATACAGAGCTGAGATTGTCTGCATCCGTCACTGAACAGGTTGAGGCAGGAGAAGACAATGAAAACCACAGGGCTTAAGAATCAGCAATTTCTAACATTTCTTGCATTTTCTAACATATTGGTCACTCAATACCATGTCAGTTAACTCCATAATGTTGTAAATTGTTGCTGATGTTATGTAGTGGCTTTTCATTGCACAGGATGATATTCTGCCAGCTCTGCTTTCAGACCAGAGATGGTCTCCCCAAGAAACTGTTGAATTTATCTGGACAATAAGATACTGGACTCTATGCATGGTACATGCTTGCAATGAAGGATTCATTACTAGATTTGAACTGTAATACTGCAACTATGTGGAGGAATCCACCATGGGGGGAGGGCATGGGAAGGGGCTGGGGGAAGCTCAGAGCCTATGAAACTGTGTCATAAAATGAAATGAAATTAAAAAAAAATAATAACAAAATAAAATAATGAACATGTTATATAATAATAATTAAAAAAAAAAAGAATCAGGGCCCGGCGCAGTGGCGCAAGTGGTTAAGTCCTCGCCTTGCACACCGGGATCCCATATGGGCGCCGGTTCTAATCCCGGCGGCCCCGCTTCCCTTCCAGCTCCCTGCCTGTGGCCTGGGAAAGCAGTCGAGGACGGCCCAAAGCTTTGGGACCCTGCACCCGCGTGGGAGACCCAGAAGAGGCTCCTGGCTTCGGATCGGCATAGTATCGGCCCGTTGCGCTCACTTGGGGAGTGAATCATCGGATGGAAGATCTTTCTCTCTGTCTCTCCTCTCTGTATATCCGCCTTTCCAATGAAAAAAATAATAAAAATAAATCTTTAAAAAAAAAAAAAAAGAATCAGCAAAGCAGGAGAGATGAGAAGTTAGAGCTGTGTAACATCTGTATCTTAGCACAATGGCTTGATTGTAGAGACCACTGACACGACAGAATTATTTTTACCCGTGATATGCTGAAGTTGGAAAAAGGAAAAAGTCTCAGGACATCACACATTGCATTAGCAGAGACCTAGTGTATACACACAAAGCTCACGTGAACAAGGTGCCTTACCCTGCTCCTTGGGAAGTGAATAGTACACTGCAATGATTGCCGTGATAACAGCACAGACTTGTTCACAGAAACTCTGGGTTTCCTGCAAGGTGATGGGCCAAATTCAGGATGAAAAAAGCAAATGTATTGAATCAATGTGGTCAATCTTTTTACCACATGTGTACAGTTTTATAGAAGTCTTCTTAGGAACTAAGTCTTGAGCTATGTTCAATCTACATCAGGGAGGAGCTGGATGAACACCACACTGGGCACACATTTAATAAAGTAGTAAGAAACAACAGGAAAATCTTACTCCTATTACGTTAACATTTCAAGATACTCATGATCTGTTGTGAGACAGTCACCGTATCTCGGGCCAGAAGGTGACAAACTATGGCCCAAAGACCAAATCAGGCTCACTGTTTATAAAGTGCTCCTGGTACACAGCCATGTTCACTGGTTTATAAGTTCACATTGTGGTTAGCACTAGATGGGTGAAGTAAGTTGCAAACCCTAAAATATTTACTGAGTTTTTAACAGGAAAAATTGCCAGCCCCAGCATTAGACCATTAGGTCATGTCTCTCACTTTTTTAGCAAAATTACAATCTGTCAATAAGGGTATAGTATCAACAACCCTCAGTGTTTATTTTCCTTCTCAGTAGCACTGGCTTTCTCGAATTTTCTCTATCTTCAAACCTCCACTAAATCCTAAGCCAATGCCACATAAAATGTGGTTCAGGTTGATACCAGTTAACAAACTGCTACCAGTGTGAGCTGAAATAAATGTAGCAACTGAGAAGTGCTGAAAAATGCACATGGCAGGGCCCTGCATGGTAGTCTAGCGGCTAAAGTCCTTGCCTTGTATGTGACAAGATCTCATATGAGTGCCAGTTCGTATCCTGGCTGTTCCACTTCCCTTCCAGCTCCCTGCTTGTGGCCTGGGAAAGCACTAGAGGATGGCCCAAGGCCTTGGGATTCTGCACTCCCATGGGAGACCTGAAGAAGCTCCTGGCTCCTGGCTTTGGTTTAGCCCAGTCCTAGCCATTGCAGCCATTGGGAAGTGAACCAGTGAATGCACAATCTCTATGTCTCCCATTCACTCTACAACTCTGCCTTTAAAATAAAAATAAATAAATCTTGAGAAAGATTTGTAGAGAGAAGGAGAGACAGAAAGAAAGATCTTCCATCTACTGGTTCATTTTCCAAGTGCGCTCAATGGCCAGAGCTGAGCTGATCCAAAGCCAGGAGTCAGGAGTTTCCTCTAGGTCTTCTATGCAGGAGCAGGGGCCCAAGGCTTTGGGGCCATTCTCAACTGCTTTCCACAGGCAGGCAGCTAGAAGGGAAGTGGAACGGCCTGGATACGAACTGGCGCCCATAAACGCCATATACAATGCTAGTGCATACAAGGTGAGGACTTAGCCACTAGGCCCCTGCACCAGGTTCAAAATAAATAAATCTTAAAAAATAAGTATCATCTCAATATATATGGATATACAGAATGAGATAGAAAATTACTACAAAAAACAAAACTACGAATATGCCATTCTCAAATGACCTTTTTCCAAATTCAGTATATGAACTCTAGAAAAAATGAAGTTAGTAGCACAGGGCATGCCTGCTTGCAACCAATATGTTTATTTTCACTAGTCTTATAATAAAGGATTATTATCCATGCATTCTCTATTTTAGCACTTTTTTTCCTGGGAATATTTTCTACTGACATACAGTGACCCACAAAGATTGTTGTGTGCAATTCATGGTTTACAATATTGGCAAGATGGAATTGATTTAAAATGTTCACAGAGAGTACTTTGTTAAATACTATTCAGGCACCACAAAGAACCAAGCAATTTCCTATGTGCACTCAGAATTGATTTTCAAACTGTTACCACCTTTTTTGTTAAAAGAAGACCCAATGAGCTTTATTGTGTTAAAAAAAAAACACACATTTACACTTCAATGTACAGGAATGAATGTATATGTGCATAAAATAGTCTGTATAAGGAAAAACACTGAAGTTAACTGGGGAGAGGAGACAAAAATAGGAGGAAATAAACTTCGGTACAATTCAACTTGGTAGCTTTCAAATGTCATACCACTATATAGTATGATTTAAAAGTTCCTAATTAAACATAGAATGAAAAATACTAATATAAAAGGGTTCCGTGTCGGTATGGAGTAGTTCAGACAACAAGGCAGAGTTAAATTCTAGTTTTACCGCTTGGGTACCCGATGCTGAGCCTGTGAATCCGCTGACTCACGAGTCAGCATGACAACATCAATGTGAACTTTGGGTGCTGATTTGGGAGACCCGCCTACTCCGTGCCCCTCCTAACGACGGCAGGAAAGTGGAGCCCACCTGCGGAGCTGGCAGTGGACGTCGACAGAAGGCTGCGGTCAGAGTCGTGGCCTCCCGGGACACGTTCTCGGCTGCCTCAACTGCGGGGTGTCAGAGGAGCCCACGGGTTAAGGCTGGAGCAGCTGCCGGGCGAGTGCATTCCCTCTCCACCCTCACCACCCCCGACCTGCCCAACACTCCCCCCCAAAGCAGTGTTTTTACAAGGCTGGTGTGCCCCCAGAGGATGCGGCGAGGGCTGGGGGTGAGGGTGGCGAGTTGGGCTGTATGTGGGGGGAGGTCCACGACGCCAGGGGCACTCACTGAGTCTTCTCCAAAACAGCTCCCGGTTAAACTCCTCGAGGGTCCCGCGGGCCTCGCCGACTGATGGATGTGGCATGAGAGGGACAGAGAATGGCGAAAGGCAAAGCTCAGGGAAGCGGATCCTAGGCTCCCCCAACCCCGGCCGCCCGGCATGGCTTCTCTCCAGCCCCAAGAGCGCCCTGGACGTCCCTAGCGTCAGCTCACCCCGCACTCGAGGGAGGAGGAGGCGCAGCTCCACGGCCAAGCGCCGCAGCTGCTCCTCAGGCGGAGCCAGGGTGGAGGCTGCTGCCTCTGCAGGTGCAGCCACGTCGCCCATCTCAGTCACTCGGGAAACCTCGGACCACCAGGGTCTCCCTCAGAATCACCCAGCAGCGTCCCCACCAGGACCGCTTCCGGCAACAAGCCGCCTGCCCCGCCCCTTCCGGCGTCCCGAGGCCCCGCCCCGACCAAGGCTGAGGACTGGTCACCAGTTCTCTCCTTCCCAGGGGCGGGGCTGCAAAGCAAGGTTCTGGCTCTTGGTCTTTTGGAGAAAGTACTCGTGTTTTCTGGTTGTTTTAAATTATTTATTTATTTGAGGCAGACAAAGGGGGCAGAGAGAGACACACAGAACGGAGCGTGCTCCCATCTATCGGGTCACTCCACTAGATCTCCAAACCAGCAGCAGCAGGAAACTCAAATCCCAGGCTCCCGTGTGGGTGACAGTCAGGCACCCTGGCTCCCAGGGCGTGCATTATCAGGAGGCTGGACTCTAGAAGGAGCGCAGTCAGGACTGTCTCAACCGTGCCTTAAACACTAGGCCAAAAGCTTGCCTCCCACGGCATTTATTCATTCACTCATTAGTTGAAACCATCCCCAATTAAGGGATGAGAGCCCAGACCCTGTGGCAAACAGGGCTAAGAACTAGTATGTTAATGGTACTCAGGGTTGGGCCCAAGTTCACAGTTTCACTGTCCCTAAAATAGCACCTTTAACAGCTGTTAAGTTCCAGGTAGCTGGATAGGTGCTTTACATGGGAAAACCCTAAGAAAAAAAAAATCACTGGGCCTCAGATGCTCCCATACACATACCCATCCTCTGTCCAGTGGATCTCCTAGATTAGGATTTTTCTCTTCACACATAGAAATCAAATCCTTTGCCTCCTTAGGGAAGGAAAGAATCAAGTCATTATTTAGATACTTTTCTGCAGTCAGCATGTAGGACTCCGTAGTGGGTAATCCCTGTTACATCTGAGTATCAAAGGAGCAGCAGCTCCCCTGCAGCTCACACACCAACACTGGCCTTCCACCTGCTACTGGAGCAGAGCCTGGACACACAGCTGCAGAGGCTGGATTTCCACCTGGCTCTTCGTGGCGAGACACCACCCTCAGGAGCTCAGGTGGCTTTTCAAATACACCATGAAGGTTCCAAATTTAGTGGCACTCAGTGTCCACACATAACAGATGAGCACAGGGGTCAGCAGTGTCAACCAGGTCCGCAAAGGGGAGACTAAAAAAGCCAGGGCGCCGTGAGTCACATGAAGAAAGTAGCAGGAATAAAGTTGCCAGATGTAGAGCAGGAGCATGAGCAGGTGCACAGGTACAGTTTTCAAGTATTTTCCTTGATGGAGATGAGACCTGAAGTTGTGGCCGAAGCATCGCTGCAGCAGGCTCCAACACAGGTAAGCCATTAGGGGGATGTTGAAAAACACCAGCTGGAAAAGGAGCATGGAACCGTTAGCTCACCTTGGAGGGCTCGGGTCTGAATACCACCACTGTGGGTGCCTCTTAAGGATGTGTGACCCTTTGCCTGTTGATCATACTTGCTTCTCACACAACAGTTGTCTTGTCGTTAGTTATGTGTTTGCCTGTGCTCTGGTGAGGACTAATTTACATTGAGATTTCAATTTGTAGTACAGTATTCAATTGACAGTCGATATCTAACAGTGTCTAAGTTGGAATTGAATAATTATGTATACACATACATAGAGTATATATACTCTTTTGGGGAGCAGAAAGTGGGGAGGGAGTTGATTATTAGTTGTTTTTTTTTTAATTTAGCTCTGTGTTTTTGTTTGAGGCAACCTGATGAACACTCAAATACAAATTAGAAGGACTAAGTTATACTTTAAGTTTAACTGTTGTGTGATTTCATTTATTCACACAATAAACATTTAGCACCTATTATGTGAAAGGCACTAGGCTAGTTTCTAGGAACAAAGTGATAAGACTGCTAACATCCTAACAAGGTGAATAGAGGCCAGGAAATACAAAAGATAAGTACAGATTGTGGTATGTTCAAAGAAAGCAGTAACTGGGTCATGAGAGGTAACTGAGTGAAGTTGAAGGACAGGTACATGTCAACAGAGGGAAGTGCACTCCAGGCAGAGGAAGCCAAAGAAAGGCCCAGAGGTGGGAGCAGTCTTGGCCTCTTCAAGAGAATGCTCTTGGAGCAGAAGCCAGGGAGAAATGGGACCAGTCAGTAGGAACCAGATTATGTTGCTACTCTGCTTAAAGGGTTTCAAACTGAGACATAGTTGAGGTGATTAAGGTTTTAAAAAGACTACGTAGTGGGGTGGGGTGGTGGAGTTGGGAGGGCGATGGTGCAGCAAGCTAATCCTCCACTTTGTAGCACTGGCATCCCATAAGGGTGCCAGTTTGTGTCCTAGCTGCTCCACTTCCAACCCAGCTCCCTGTTTCTGGCTGCTTGGGAAGGCAATGGAGAATGGTCCAAGTCCTTAGTCCTTGCTCCCACATGGGAGACCTGGAAGAAGTTCCAGGCTCCCAGATTCAGATCAGCTCACCTCCGCCCTTGCAGTCGGGGGAGTGAACCAGCAGATAGAATCTCTCTGTTTCTCGCTCTCTCTCTCTCTCTCCTCTCTTTATAAAATCTGACTTTCCCCAACAAAAATAAATAAGCCCTTTACAAAAGAAAGACTACATGGGATGCTCTCTGGTAAACTGACAGCATGGGAGCAAGAACCACAGTAAGAAAGCTGGCAAAAAATAATTTAGAATGAGATGGTGGTAACAGAGACAAGGAGTAACAGATATATCCAATATACTTACTGCAGGTTATCAAACAAGGTACAACCTGCTAATGAACTTTACATAGATATGAAAGAATGTAAAAATGTGGGGATATATCTTGAAGAAACTGGGTAAATAGTGGAATCATTAACTAACTTGGAAAAAATTATGATGGAACAGATTTGGGGTGGAAACTGAAGAACCTATCAGACACATATTAACATTAAGGTGAGGTGTCTGTTAGGCATCTAAAGGAAGATGAAATTGCATCTGGTTGTACAGGCACTTGAAGTGAAAAGATGTCTAGATCATATTCATTAAAATATGAGGACCAGCACTGTGGCACAGCTAAGCTGCCACCTGCAACGCTGGCATTCCATTTGGGTATTGGTGGAATTCTGGCTGTTGCGTTATTGATATTGATCCAGCAACTTGTTAATGTGCCCAAAAATGGCCTGTTCCCATAAGGAAGATCCTGATGAAGCTCTCGGCTTCCTGGCTTTGGCCTGGCCCAGTCCTGGCCATTACACTCATTTAGGGAGTAAACAGGTAGATGGAACATCTTGCTCGCTCTTTTTCTTACACATTTCAAATAAATAAAATGCAACTTTTTAAAAATGTGAATGATAGGGCCTGGCACAGTAGTCTAGCAGCTAAAGTCCTCGCCTTGAACATGCTGGGATCCCATATGGTTGCCGGTTCCAATCCTGGCAGCTCCACTTCCCATCCAGCTCCCTGCTTGTGGCCTGGGAAAGCAGTGAAGGACAGCCTAAAGCTTTGGGATCCTGTACCCATGTGGGAGACCCAGAAGAGTTCCTGGCTCCTGTCTCTGGATTGGTGCAGCTCTGGCCGTTGCAGTCACTTGGGAAGTGAATCATCAGACAGATCTTCGATTCCTCTCTCTCTGCATATCTGACTTTGCAATAAAAATTAATAAATCTTTTTTAAAAAGGTGAATGATAGAATTTACAAAGAAAAAAGCTTTGTTTTTTGGTAAGGTTTGGGTTTCACAAAGTATAAAAGTGATTCTGGCTGTAGGCATCGTGGTGCAAAAGGCTAAACCAGTGCTTGGGCTACCTGTATCCATTGTCAGACAATTTGGTTCAGGTCCCAGTCACTCTGTACTTGTAACATACAGCTGATAATGGCCGAAGGACTTGGGTTTCTTTCAGACACGAGGGGTCTTGGACAGACTTCTGTTCTGGCTTTAGCCTGGCTGCTGCAGGCATTTGAAGAGTGATCTAGCACATGTCTCTGTCTCTGCCTTACTCTGCTAGTCTGTCTGTCTGACTTTCTTTCTTCCTTCCTTTCTTTTTTTAATTGCAAACTCAAATATACAGAGAGGAGGAGAGACAGAAAGGAAGACCTTCTGTCTAATGATTCACTCCCCAATTGACTCCAATGGTCGGTGCTGTGCCAATCCAAAGCCAGGATCCAGGAACGTCTTCCAGATCTCCCACGCCGGTGCAGGGTTCCAAGGCTTTGGCCTGTCCTGGACTGCTTTCCCAGGCCAATTACAGGGAGCTGGATGGGAAGCAGGCTGCCGGGATTAGAACCGGCACCCAAATGGGATCCCGGAACATTCAAGGCAAGGACTTTAGCCACTAGGTCACTGTGCCGGGCCCTCTGCTACTCTTTCAAAGACAAATGAACAGTGTACCTGACAACAGCCACCCCTACATACCTGAAGAATGCAACTGGACACAGGACCTACTCACATGTATAATGCTGCTCTGAGTACAAGGGTCTGGAGCAGGTCAGTGTCTGCAACGCAGAGTCCCCTTTTCTCCTTCCCCCTCCTCCGCTCCACTTGGCTGTCTAATCCTGCTAGGTTTCATTGCCCTGTTTGGAGACCTTGAACTTGTTTTGAACATTTCAGTGTTTCCACATCTCTTTCAAAACTCCCAGCCTATCTCAGATGTTGGTCCACAAGTCCCATTAGGTGAATAAAATAGTTAGGTAGATACTTTTCAAATTTGCTCATGGACTTTTGCTATGGATCAGGAATTTTTGGAGGGTATGTTTACTTTAAAGGAATTCAATGTAAAAATTAAATATATTAGTGTTTCTCAAATAAGCATAAAGCAAGGATGTTACTGAGACCCTGAGGTCTAGCTTTTGCTTTGTGCAGTTCCCTCTGAATAAGGGACCCATTTTTTTCATGTCTATTTTTTTCTTCTTCCCTCTGAAATAGTTTCTTCTTCCTTACCATAATCAGTTTTGGTTTACTCAGAATCTAATTTTTCTACCATAACTCCCAAATTTCATTTTTGTCAACAATAAAGTGCAACAAAACAAATAAAAACTTCTTTTTCTTCTTATAAAACCTGAATGTAGTCCAAAAAAGCATTTTAGATGTTTATATGACAGTAACAAAAGACAAAACTTAGGAAACACTCTAAAGGCAAACAAAACATCAGTTAATAAAAATTGCCCTGAAAATAAAGTTGGAAAGATGATTTATGGTATTTAGTTTAGAAATCTGGATTTTATTCGTAAATGCTATGCATTTAATCCAACAAGACCAAGATTCTCTCGAACTGCAGTTCTGGTACCTTACCTGCAGAATTCCAACTATAAATGTAACACTGCCTTGTAGGAAATGTCCACTAACAAAAGTTCCAAAGGAAAAGCAGCAACCCAAATGGCCATCAATGATTTCACCACAAAACCATGGTCCTGAGAGGAACAAAGGGCAGAAAAGGAGATCAGACAACTATCACTCTACTTCCATAGGAGGAGTCTTCACAAAGAACAGAAAGGTGGGCATGTGGCAAGGGATAAGATGTACTTGGGAAGCCTGCATCCGTACTGAAATTTGTGGATTTGAGTTCTGGCTCTACTTCTGATTCCAGCTTCCAGCAAATCTCTACTCTGGGAAGCAACAATCAAGCTTTAAGAAGTTGAGTCCCTTCTATCCACAAAGGAAACTCCAGACTGAGTTCCTGACTCACAGTCTGGGTACAGCTTAGTCACAACTATTGTAGGTGTATAGAGATCTCTTGTCTAGCTCTGTCTTTCTGCCAACAAAGCCACTATTTTATTTTATTTTAAAAGATTTATTTTAGGGCCCGACGTGGTGGCGCAAGTGGTTAAGGTCCTCGCCTTGCACGCCCAGGGTCCCATATGGGCGCCCGTTCTATCCCGGCAGCTCCGCTTCCCTTCCAGCTCCCTGCCTGTGGCCCGGGAAAGCAGTCGAGGACGGCCCAAGGCTTTGGGACCCTGCACCTGCGTGGGAGACCCGGAAGAGTCTCCTGCCTTTGGATCGGCATAGCATCAGCCATTGCGCTCACTTGGGGAGTGAATCATTGGACGGAGGATCTTCCTCTCTGTCTCTCCTCTCTGTATATCTGCCTTTCCAATAAAAAATAATTTAAAAAAAAGGATTTATTTTATTTTTATTGGAAAGTCATATATACAGAGAAGAGGAGAAACAGAGAAAGATCTTATGTCCATCGATTCACTCTCTAAGTGGCTGCAATGGCTAGACTATGCCAATCTGAAGTCAGGAGCCAGGAGCCTTTTCCAGGTCTTCCATGTGGGTGCAGGGTCCCAATGCTTTGGGCTGTCCTCAACTGCTTTCCCAGGCCACAAGCAGGGAGCTGAATGGGAAGTGAGGCTGCCAGGATTAGAACCAGCGCCCATATGGGATTCCGGCACATGCAAAGTGAGGACATTAGCCCCTAGGCTACCACGCCGGGCCTGCAACTATTTTATTTTAAAATCCATGGGAATTGTGTAATGAAAAAAAAAAAATCACAGATTTCAAAAAATTTTGCACTAAAATATATCTTCTAATTCCATTTTCCGTAAACATTTTGAAATGTCCTTATACATGGTAAGATATATTTATGGGATTAATAAGGAGATATGAGACTAGTCATTTGTAAGCATTTTATCTCATAGTGTCTTTTTCTGGCACTGACTCCAAAATAAATAATTTTTTAAAAGAGTGATAAGAGGGGCTAGCATGGTGGCTCAACAGGTTCATCCTCCACCTATAAGCACCGCCATCTCATATGGGCACCAGTTTGAGTACCAGCTACTATGCTTCCCATCCAGCTCCCAGCTCATGGCCTTGGGAAAGCAGCAGGAGGTATCTTGAGTCCTTGGGGTCCTACACCCACATGGGAGAGCCAGAGGAGGTTCCTGCCTTCAGATTGGATCAGCTCCGGCCATTACAGCAATTTGGGAAGTGAACCAGCAGATGGAAGATTTTTCTCTTTGTCTCTCTAGTCTCTGTAACTCTGCCTTTCCAATAAAAAATAAACAAATCTTTAAAAAAAAATGACAAGAAACAGTCACAATTCTTTTTTCAAAATGTAAACATTAACAATGCTCACAGCAGTAGGGTTCAATTTGTTTTTAATCACTAGTTTTTTTTCTCTAATATCTATTATATAAGCCCTACAAGAGACATGTTAGCCTAATAAGTCTTTTTTCACCAAATTTCAACTTTTCAAACGAAGCAACCTCTGTACCTTTAATATTTTAAAATATTTTTAATATTTTGGTTCACCCCTTTGGGTAAGACAAATGTCAAAACCTGCTCAGTTTACCTTCTAACAAGAAAATTTACCTCTGAAGTTTTCTTTAATCAACCTGCTGCAGCTTGACACCATTTACAAAAATGCAAATGGCATGTTTTTAACGTTCTGGCAGGTGTTACTTATGAGTAAAGTCCAAACACAGAATGAAAAGGTAAAACAAAGACTAAATCCCAGCAGCAAATAGGTTAATGTACTCCTAATTGACTGAGTCACCAAAAGATATAAGCAAGGAGCCTAATGGAGACTTGCAGTGCTTCCTGTTTTCAGTAAGTACCCAAGGAACTTCATCAGTGTTTGTTGTAACGTTGTTCGCTGAAGAGCTCAGTGAGATGTGGACTGAGTGTTTATGTTGGGCTCTCCCTGAGTGCCATGCACTAGGAAATATTCACTGCCGCATACACAAGGCATTAAGTGCAGTGCTAGGCACAGAGCGGAACAAGGGACACAAGAAACCAATGCATATTCTAGTGAGAAAAAACAAACATTAAACAAGATAATCATAAATTCTGATAAATGTAATGAAGTAAATAGACAGTACACTGAAACAAGGATAAAGCTTTATGGTAATCAAAGGTTGCTCTGAGACAGTTTTTACAAAACATAGGATTCTTTAATGGTCTTCTTAGTACCCTGAACTTGGTGGTGAATAAATGTCCTTTTCACTTTTTATACCCTCAAGGATCTAAACTATTCTCTTGTCAAAATTCACAATATGTGCTTTGGCAGGATTTTCTACAAATTAGGGTTGATTTATCTACTTACCCAACACTGTGTATATGGTCAGCAGCAACATAGAATAGTAGAAGATGTTTACTTTGCACAAGATATGCAGGGAAAATGAGGTAAGATTTATATTTCCAGGAGGTTCTAAACAAAAAAGTTGAAAAATCCAGTGAACAGAAGCAAAGTTCATTTTCTCTGTATCATGCCCTGGATGACTGCTGGGAGCTAGCTACTATACCTGCAGCAAACCTTGTGTTATGTAGGAACTATACAGAGGATACCACTTTAAAGTCAGAGTCCTAGAGAACAATGTATAACTGTAGAGCATAGAATGTTCAAAGAAGCAATGTAGTTGTAACACCATATATTAAGAGAAGCATAGGTATAATTACTACGTTTATCTCATAATACTACTGAAATTACAAATATACATACATTTCTTTATATATACATATATAAAATTACTGAAAACCACAGAGGTATCTGCCAGAGAACTATACTATTTTATTTCCATGTAAGTTTGAAAGATAGCTCCTTGTTACAAGGATAACAAGTCTATGCTTTCTACATGATTTATTTAAATATATTTATGTATATCAACGAACTGTCCAAATTTTTCCACTCTTTTTAAAAATTGTATTATTATTACTATTTTAATTGGAAAGTCAGATATACAGAGAGCTGGAGAGACAGAGAGGAAGAGCTTTCATCCATTGATTCAATCCCCAAGCAGCTACAACAACCAGAGCTGCACTGATCCAAAGCCAGGAGCCTAGAGCCTCTTCTGGTTCTCCTATGTGGGTGCAGGACCCCGAGGTTTTGGGTCCTTCTCGACTACTTTCTCAGGTCATAAGCAGGGAGCTGGATGGGAAGCAGGGCTGCCAGGATTAGAACTGGCACCCACATGGGATCCCGGTGCATTCAGGGTGAATATTTTAACCAATAGGCTACCATGCTGGGCCCAAAACTTTTCCATTGTTTAAAGAATAGTTATTTACTCTTCATTTAAGGGGATGTGTTTAGTAACTGTGTAATGGAGACTATCATATCTAGCAGCATGTAATTTAACTTATTGACATTGTAAATTTCTATTTTTCTTCCTGTTGATTTTGTATTGTGGTTTTTCATTTAAGGGGATGTACAGTAACTGTGTAATGGAGACTGTCACATCCAGATGTGAGGATGCAATGCAGTATGCATCTCTACTTCCAGATCCAAGATGGACTCCCAATGAAACTGTTTATTGTATCTTGACAATAGGATGCTGGATTCTGCAACTGTCCATGCCCTCAATGATGAGCATATGACTGTGTAGGAAGAACTATACTATACTTATTTAAGAAAGCAGCTAGGATAAATTATTGATATGTAAATTTAGTGTTCCTTTAAAATTCATAATGCATACTCAATCTTCATGTGACTTAAAAAACTAGGAGAAAGACACTATCAATTCTTGCCAAAAGGTTGTGACTGATTCTTTTGGGATTTAGACCACACATAAGTGGTTTCTACCTGTGCGCCATATTACAGGGCTTGAGCCTGAGTCCAGCTTCCTGTGAGTGCACACTCTGGGATGTAGCACATGATAGCTCAAGCCCTGGGTGACAGGGAACCAAGGGTCAGAACTGAGTTTCTGGCTTCCAGCTTTGGCTCAGTCCATTCTAGTGATTGCAGGTATCTGGGAGAGAGAACTAGAGGAAGACAGCTCTGTTTCTCCCTGCATCTAAATAAGTAAGTAAAAGATTCACAGATGTTTCAATTTCATAAACCTGAGATTGGATTTAGTATTCTACATATTTTTTAATGTCTGTGGGTGTTTCTGACGTGGTATAGGTTTGAGAATCACTGTAAGAATGTAGAAGGAATGAAAAGAGGTTTTCAAGCACAAGAATGTAGGGAGACCAAAAGGACCATTCCACTTTACTCACTTGTCCCATTAGCCTAGGCAGAAGCAACTAATAGGATCAAAGTAAGATTAAGCAGTGAATGATGGCAGTAGCTGAAAACTAGGGAGAAAATTTACCTAGTTGCACCTACATGTTTATACTTCTCTTGTCACTTCTAAACAGTCCAAGTCAGTGCTTTCGTATGTGGTTACAAATAGTTGTCTTATTAGAAAAGGCACAGTATGTAGAAAAGTTTTTTTCCTCTGCTCATTATTCTCAAAGGTCACGAAAAGCCTGACTATTCAGTGGTATCAGACTAAGTTCACTAAAAAAAAAAAAAAAAAAAAAAAAACCACCTAATTTCAAGGAAATAAATAGCCAACAGCCTTTTGAATGCTCCAAACTTGCATCTGTAAATCTTGGCAAAATTGTTTTAGCCATTCTCAGAAATAGCATGCGAACAACTCTGTATTATCCCTTTTAGGTGGAGGCAAAATTCAATACATTTCACATTTATAGAGGTGCTAGGCACAAAGCAGGCACATATTTTCATATTAATCATTTAGGGCCATTGGTGGAGAGACAAATCCTGATTAGTCACTCTTGGGGACTCTTGATTCTGACACCGGAAGAATGTTTGTCTAAGTTGCAGACTGTCAACTATGAAGAAATGGTTAATAAGGAAGGAATCTGGTTAGAAGTTAGGGTCTTCCCTATCCAGCGTTCCCTTTTTAAAAATTCACATTGCTCTTAGAGAGGCTGCGAATGAGTAACCTCACTGTTCATTATTCATGACTATACCACGTTATCTGGTATAAGGGAGTACACAAAGGTGCAGACAGCCATCAGGAAAGCTGGAAGGCATGTGAGCCAAGGTCTTCCTTATAATTTTTTTTAGGCTGCTGTGCACAATTAACTTAGAACTATCTATGTGCCATTTAAATCTTATATAACTATTTTTAGTACTTTATCATCAATTATTTGAATCAACTGTATTTTTTCTAATTTAAAAGTATTTCATATAAAAATGAACTTGCGGGCTTGGCACAATAGCCTAGTGGCTAAATCCTCACCTTGCATGCACCAGGATCCCATATTGCTGCTGGTTTATGTCCGGTTGCTCCACTTCCTATCCACCACCCTGCTTGTGGCCTGGGAAAGCAATAGAGGACAGCCCAAAGTCTTGAGACCATGTACCCATGGTGAGAGACCTGGAAGAAGTTCCTGGCTCTTGGTTTCAGATTGGCTCAGCTCAGGCTTTTGTGGCCACTTTAGGAGTGAACCAGCAGATGGAAAATCTTTCTATATATCTGTCTTTTCAATAAAAAAATAAATAAACCTTTTTTTTTTAAAAGTGAACTTGCTACTTAGATTAAAAGGTGGTCATTTCGAGCTATTTTTGTGACTCTTCCACTTATTTTACTGCTAGGTAGCAGCAAAAATTAATTTTTTTTCAAGACAAGAATATCATGGGAAAAGAGTACTGGTTTAAAGCATGCACTTCACAGAGCACATATAAACAACTTATGCTTCTGTTTATCACTTGATAATCGGAAAGCATTCTATGGCACTATGAAATAAAGTCTTCTAACAATAGAACACACCAGGACTAACCTTTAAACTTTGGGTATCCTAGATACCTAAAAGTAATGAGAACAGCAAGCTGGATCAGCACAATCATCACAAAGACAACCCGGACCTGCAGAGAAATAGATGCTGATGTGAAAAAGATACATGGCAACAGCATGTTAGGTGTTTTAAACTGGCCTCATCAACAAAAAATGGAAACAATATCTGTGCTACTACATACAATAACAAATAAATATTTTGATCTTTGTCCTGGCCAGGGCTCCTAAAACCCTTGTCATAATGGATCATATATGTGATAGTGGTTCTTAAACATTATATTGCATAGAGCCTGGCTAAAGTCCTCGTGGCTAAAGTCCTTGCCATATGCATGTACCAGGATTCCATATGGATGCCAATTCATGTTCTGGCTGCTGTACTTCCTTTCCAGCTCTCTGTTTGTGACCTGGGAAAGCAGTAGAGGATGTCCCAAAGCCTTGGGACTCTGTACCCATGTGGGAGACCTGGAAGAAGCTCCTGGCTCCTGGCTTCATATTGGCTCAGCTCCACTGTTGCAGCCACTTAGGGAGTGATTCAGACAATGGAAGATCTTTCTGTCTCTCCTCTCCATAAATCTGACTTTCCAATAAAAAAATGGATGAATCTTTAAAAAAAATTATATTGCCTAGTAATATCATAAGCTATCTTAGTTTATCTGAATACATTCCATCATGTTCACACAATGATGGCATTGTTTAAATGTACTTCTCAGTATGTATTTCAGTGCTGATTGGCATTGCACAATAGTGAGTTAAGTAAACCACCTCTTTGGATGCCAACATCCCATATGGTTCAATTCTTGTCCATTTCTAATCCAGCTACCCAGATGGAGTTCTAGACTCGACTTTGGTGTGACCCGCTGCTGACTAACTGCGGGCAGTTGAGAAGTGAAACAACAGATGAAAAAAATCCCTCTTCCTCTCCCTCTCTTTTGCTCTGCCTTTCAAGTAGATTAAAAATAAATTAATTAAATAAATGATCATTAGAAGAAAAAAAAAAGCTGCCCGTGACTATGTTTGGTCTTTGACTCCTCACTTACCTCTGGAGTGAAACAGCAAAAGAAGTGTGTTTTGTTATTTGTAACAAGCTCCTTTCCTCTAAGTCAGAGTTTGTAGTGACTTTTGCAAACCCTTGAAGGATGGGGTTGGCTTCCAGGAGGAGTGTATTTTGAGGGTGGGGAAGTTTCAGCCTCTCACTACTGCATTGTTGAATTGATCACCAATGGCCAGTTAATTTATAATACCTTAATGATGATACCTCTACCAAAGCCCTAACCAAGGAGCTTCAGAGAGCTTCCAGGCTGATAAGCACATGAAGATAAAGCACATGAAGATGCCGTGAAGCTAGTGTGTGCCTGCATCGTGCTACACCCCACACTGTGCCCTACACATCTCTCCCATTGAGCTAGTCCTGAGTGTACTAATATTTTTTCCAAACATACGTATACATACATATTTTTAAATTTATTTCTGATAAATATTTTGGGAGAAGGGGAGAGCGAGAGATAAAGGGGGAAGCCATACCCAGCCTCCCAAAAGTTCCAGTACCCAGGGATGGGGAACCATTACCCAATATCAACTCAGGGTCCCAATGTGGTGCATGTTCCAAGGGTTCTGCCCAAGTGGTTTGGATAGTTCTGAAATGCTGTCGATTTCACCAATCCAAGGACAAGGTAGCCCTCCTGATGTCCACTGGCTGACATAATTCACCTTAAGTCTGTATTCACCCAAATTTATGCTGTTATCATTTAACTGGAGTAGTTGTCCAATTTGTTCTTGTCACATGATTACATTATTGATGACTTTGCATTTACCATATCCAATAAGTGCATACATCATGTTTAACTGAATTCACTCACCACAGTACAGTGCTCGGTAAGGAGAATAAAGGAGGCCACAGGATCAAATGTGAGATGAATATTCTCTTGAATAGAAAATGTGTGGCGAACATTCTTGCTTCTTCCAGCAGAATCCTAGTTATCAGCACAGCACAGGTCATTTGCATGAACATTTAAACAAGTTTAGGGTGCAGGTGTTTAGCTTGGTGGTTGAGGTCCCTGGTTTCAATCTCTAGTTCCAGTTCCTCTCTGTAGCTTCCTGCCACCCACATGAGAGACTGGTACACAGTTTCCAGTTCTTTGCTTCGGCTTGGCCCAGTTCTGTGAGTACCTGGACAGTGACCAGATGGACGCTAGCTCTTTTACTCCTGCTCTCTCCTTTTCAAATAAAAAAATTAACTTATATAATCTTCTGTATTACATTCACTACTTACAAAAGTAACTCAAAACATTCTCAATAGTTTGTTTTTTTTCTGAACATCTTCATTTTTGTTCACTTATTTTTAATTTCCTTCCAAATACTTGCAGAATTTTCTTGTTTTAAAAAATGTGTCGAGAAAGAGACAGAGAGAGCTCTTATGAGAGTTCGCTGCCCAGAAGCATGTAACGCCTGGAGCTAGGCCAGGATTGATGAGTCATAATCCAGGTCTCCCATGTAAATGGCAGGAACTCAATTGTCTGAGCCATCACTGCGTCTCCCAAAGTCTACATTAGTGGGAGGCTAGAGTCAGGGGCAGGAATGTAATCCAAGCATGACTATGTGTGATATGGGAAGGTGGCATAGTAATTGCTAGCTAAAAGCCAGCTCCTTCTACACATATTTTTATAGCATTTATTCTAAACCTTATAATGCTAGACTTGAACTAGAATTATCAGCAGACATGCATGATTATTTTCTTCAAAAAAATTCATTTGCCTTTGTGGACTGAGAAGAACTAACAATGATTACAAATCCAAAAGCACTAGGTCTTCTGGGCCACGCTAAGACTGTGGTATCAAAACATCATTTCTCATTACAAGGTAACCGTGCTCTTACAGAAATGGCTGATTTTAGTCTGAGTATGAAGTGAACAAGAGCTTTGACTATCTTGTCATACTTAGTAAAAACAAACAAAAAAACAACAACAACAAAGACTATTGCAGTTATTTCAAAGGACCTATAGTCAACAGGAAGAGCTCCACACTAATCTAAGATGGAACAATTTGAAAAGAGAGTAAAAGCTGAGGGTTAACCAAATATACACCAAACATACGTTTTTAAAATATTGAACTCATGAAGCATGTTAATACAAACAAAGTCTCACTGGTCACCTCTGATGACTCATCATTCTGAAAACTGGTTTAGAAAAGAGAGGGGGTGCCAGCACAACAGTTTAATGGCTAAATCCTCGCCTTGCATGCCCCGGGATCCTATATGGACACCAGTTCTAATCCTGGCAGCTCCACTTCCCATCCAGCTCCCTGCCTGTGGCCTGGGAAAGCAGTCAAGGACAGCCCAAAGCTTTGGGACCCTGCGCCCGCGTGAGAGACCCGGAAGAGGCTCCTGGCATCGGATCAGCATAGCACCGGCCGTTGCACTCACTTGGGGAGTGAATCATCGGACGGAAGATCTTCCTCTCTGTCTCTCCTCTCTGTATATCCGCCTTTCCAATAACAAAATAATAAAAATAAATCTTTAAAAAAATAAATAATGAAAATAATTACAAGTGTTTTCTGAAGGATTATTTGATGTTCACATTACAACAGCTCTAGACAACTAAATAGTTTTAAACTATCATAAAATCAAAAAGTTGTATAAATTGACTTTTTTCTTAGAAGCTAATACAACACAAATTATTTCTGATAGAGTTTGATGAAGCTACTCTGTTTTGTCTATGATTACCACTTTCTACACTGGTAGGTGCTAATAAATCAAATGTCTTAAAACTGAAACATGGTAAGGACAGGTAGACTGTTAACTGTGTATGCTAACAATACAAAATCACCCAAACAACCTTCCTTTGATACCCTGGAAGTCTATGTTCTGGAGCTTTCACAAAATGACACCAGGACTGGTGTTATGGGTAGCAAGTTAAGCTATCACTTGCAACGTCAGCATCCTATATTTCAAAGAACCAGTTCAGTTCCTGACTGCTCTTCTCCTGCAGCTCCCTGTTAATGCTCTTAGGAAGACAACAGAAGATGGTCCAAGTGCTTGGGTCCCTGCTACCCACCTGTCACACAGGTGGGAGATCAGAATGGAGCTCCTAATTCTGGCCTAACCTGGCTATTGTGGAAGGAAAATTTTTCTTTCTCTTTCTGTCTCTGTCACTTTTCCGTCCCCCTCTTTGTGTTTCTAATTGCCTTTCAAATTAATTATATTTATTCTTTAAAGTGATATAACTTTACTATATATTTTTTCATTGGAAAGGCGGATATACAGAGAGGAGAGACAGAGAGGAAGATCTTCCATCTGATGATTCACTCCCCAAGTGAGCGCAACAGCCAATACTATGCCGATCTGAAGCCAGGAGCCTCTTCCGGGTCTCCCACACGGGTGCAGGGTCCCAAAGCCTTGGGCTGTCCTCGACTGCTTTCCTGGGCCACAGGCAGGGAGCTGGAAGGGAAGCAGGGCTGCCAGGATTAGAACCGGCGCCCATATGGGATCCCGGGCGTGCAAGGCGAGGGCCTTACCCACTTGCGCCACCGCGCCGGGCCCAATAACTTTACTATATTTACAGACACTAACCAAAGGCATGCATACATAAATGCCTGTTTTTTTGTTTGTTTTAAAGATTGATTTATTTATTGGAAAGTCATATATACGGAGAGGAGAGACAGAGAGGAAGATCTTCCGTCCGATGATTCACTCCCAAAGTGAGCACAACGTCTGATGCTATGCCGATCCAAAGCCAGGAGCCAGGAACTTCTTCCAGGTCTCCCACACGGGTACAGGGTCCCAAAGCTTTGGGCCGTCCTCAACTGCTTTTCCAGGCCACAAGCAGGGAGCTGGAAGGGAAGCAGGGCTGCCGGGATAGAACCAGCGCCCATATGGGATCCCGGGGCGTTCAAGGTGAGGACTTCAGCTGCTAGGCCACACCGCCGGGCCCATAAATGCCTGTTTTTGACCTATTTCATTATCTTTGGGTACATTAGGAAATTTGCTAGAGTTGGAAGGAAGAATGATTTCCTTAGAGCCTGGAGAAATGGCTTAATGGTTAAAGTCTCACCTTGCACGCACCAGAATACCATATGGGTGCCAGTTTGAGTCCCATATGCTGCACTTCCCATCCAGTTCCCTGCTTGTGGCCTGGGAAAGCAGTAGAGGACTGCCCAAAGCATTGGGACCCTGCATCATATGGGAGACCCAGAGGAAGCTGCTGGCTCTCGGCTTTGGATTGGCTCAGCTCTGGCTATTGCAACTACTTGGAGAAAGAACCAGCAGATGGAACATCCTTCTCTCTGTCTCTCCTTCTCTCCATAAATCTGATCTGTCTTAACAAATAAAAAATTTTTTTGGTTTTCCTGAGGTTAAAAAAAAAGCAGTAGAGGCTAGTCCTGTAGCATAGCACATTAAGCTACCACTTTGCGACACAGGCAACTCATGTGGGTGCAGGTTGTTGTCCTGGCTGTGCCACTTTCAACTCAGCTCCCTGAGAAGGCAGCAAAAGATGACCCAGGTAAGTGGGCCCCCCATCACCCAACAGAGAGACAAAGATGGAGTTTCTAGGCTTTGGCCTGGCTCAGATCCAAATTTTGCATGTATGTGAGGGATGAAACAGGAAAGGGAAGATTTCTCTTTCTCTGTCTCTCTCTTTATAACTCTACTAAATAAATCGATAAATCTTAAAAATGTTTAAAGGGTTGACTATGGCCAGTAGTTACACATCCTTCTCCATCTTTGTTCAGTAGAAGTACTACTGAGTGTTCGTTTTCAGAATGAAATTGTGTATTCGGTTTTTTAAAACTAAGTTTATTGACTAGAAAAAGAAATCACAAATTAGTGTTCATTTTGGCTGCTGCCCGAACACAGACACAGCAAACTGAAAATTACTAACTTACCTGGACGATCACTTCTATGTCATGTGTCCCATTACTGTAGTTTTGGGGGTTCCACTTCAGTGTGAAAATAGGACCAGACAAATGAACAGCCTGGCCTAGATGAATTCCATCAATCTTAACTGTGACAGATGTAATGGAGCACAAGGAAAAGGCCAAGACTCTAAAATAAGAACATACATTGAATGCATAGTTTTAGGCGTTTGTCATTTTTTTTATAAGGGAGAATACGTTTCATCACCTAGAAATACTTGTGTAGGTGGAATGATCACATCGCACAACTCCCAGGACCACTGTCTCATTTCTTTCTAAATGGAAGCTTTTTGAGTTGGACAAATCAACAAACATGAGTTGCTAAGAAATTAGAAACTTAAAAACTCTTTATAGAAAAGAAAATTTATTTTCAAAAATTCAGCTATTGTAAACTAAGCAACTTCCTGAAGTCCTGTTTACTCTCTTAAGAAGAAAATACAGGGATGACAAGTTACTTTGTTATCCCTATGCCACACGTATCATCTATTCATTCGATTCTGCCCAAAAGAAGCGACAGCAGAATCAGGTTGAACTGTCAGGCCCTTCCAGAGAGTATAATGCTTAACCCTGATATCTAGCGCCTATCAAAAAACCTGCCTGACTGATGCATGTCTCACTTATCAGTGATCAATAAATAAACAGGTTGGTATCCCTTCTTTTAGATTAAGATTACTATTTTACACAATATTTTTAATAACAAAATAATTTTAAGAATGCTGTAAATATGATGCTTATTTTTATTGGCAAGCTAATAAATTAGCATCTGCTTTTAAAAGTAATTGGGGGCCCAGCGAGATAGCCTAGTGGCTAAAGTCCTCGCCTTGCACACTCCGGGATCCAATATGGGTGCCGGTTCATATCCCAGCTGCTCCACTTCCCATCCAGCTTCCTTCTTGTATCCTGGGAAAACAGTAGAGGATAGCCCAAAGCCTTGGGACCTTGGACCCACACGGGAGACCCAGAAGTTCCTGGCTCCTGGCTTCAGATACGCTTAGCTCTGGCCATTGTGGCCACTTGGGGAGTGAACCAGCAAACGGAAGATCTCTCTGTCTCTCCTTCCCTCTGTATATCTGCCTTTCCAATAAATAAATCATAACAACAAAAAAGTAACTACATGCTGAGTGCTCTTCTGGTAGCAATGTTAAATGTTATAGCCTCCACAAAAAAACAGTATAGCAGCTTTTTTAAAGAATTAAACATAGGGGCCTGGTGCAATAGCATAGTGGTTAAGGTCCTCACCTTAGACATGCTGGGATCCCATATGGGGGCTGGTTCTAATCCCAGCAACCCCACTTCCCATCCAGCTCCCTGCTTGTGGCCTGGGAAGGCAGTCGAGGACGGCCCAAAGCCTTGGGACCCTGCACCCGTGTGGGAGACCCGGAAGAGGCTCCTGGCTTCGGATTGGCTCAGTTCCAGCTGTCGCTGCCGCTTGGGGAGTGAACCATTAGACAGAAGATCTTCCTCTCTATACATCTGACTTTCCAATAAAAATAAAATAAATCTTACAAAAAAAAGAATTAAACATAGAATTACTGGGGTTGGTATGCTGACATGTTGCCAATGATGCTGCATCCCACCTGAATTCTGGTTCACATCCTAAATGCCTCAAATTTCAGTATTAGTCCCCGCTAATGCACCTGAGAAAGCAGGAGATGGCCCAAGTACTTGGGCCCCGGTACCCATGTAGAAGACTTGGATGAAGTTCCTGCCTCCTGGCTTCAGCCTAGCTCAACCACAGCTGTTCCAGCCAGTCATGAAGTTGAACCAGCAGATGGAAGATGTCCCTCTCTCTTCCCTTCTCCCTCCTTCTCCTTAACATTCTCTGTCTCACTAACTCTTTCAAATAAATATATTTTTAAACTGATAAGAACAGATACTACACATGATCTTAGCCAAAAGGCCGAGAAGTGATCAAATAAATATATTTTTAAAAATAAATTATTCCCCAGTAAAACTGCCAGACTCAGAATCCTAATCATGAAAAGTCAGAGGACAGACAAATCAATCAACTACCCTATCCATCTGTTGACAGTGAAAAACTAGGCAAACGAAGACTCTAAGATGGACTATGTCAATCAGTGGATTCTTCAGCGATCTCATCGTGTTTGTAATGGCAAGATTGGCAGCAATTCATAACTGTTGAACTATCAAAACCACTTGAGCAGGACCCTCAGAGCATGCCCCATGTCAGTGACCTGGGATGGGTGGGAGGCTGGATGGGGCTTCTCCCTTTACCTCCCGCTTTTACCCCAGGTACAAAAAAAAATGTGGAAATAATAGTCTTACCCACTTTTCTATAGTCCTTGAACCTTTGTGTCCTAATTAACTATGTACAGATTGTAAAAAATAAAGAAAAAATATGGAAAAAAATAAATTAAGATTCAGTAATCCCACTTTGGAGTATATATCCAAATGAAAGGAGAGGCTTGTGCAGCTATTTGCACACTCAAATTCACAGATGTCTTAACACAGCAAGAGGTGGGTGCAGTTCCGAGGTCTGTCATTATGTGTATGCAGTGAGATATTATTCAGTGCTCTCCAAAAGAAGAAATTTCTGACATGTGCCAGAGCATGGATGAATCTTAAGGACATTATGTTAAGTGAAATAAGCCAAACAGGAAAGCGCAAATATGGGCATCTAAAGCTGTCAAATTCTTAGACACAAGTTGGCAAAGGCTTTGTTGAGGGGTGAGTCGGAGCGTTACTGTTTACGGGACACAGAGGTTCAGTTTTACAAGTGAAAAAAAGCTCTGGCGATGGGGTCGTGGTGAGGACTGCACAACAGTGTCAATGTACTTAATTCTGAGTCGCATACTTCAAATTATTAAAATGGTATATTTTATGTTATGTCTATTTTGCCAGTATTAAAAAGGATTTAACTAGAAGGCAAATTTCACTAGCAAGAAAGAAAAATTGTTGGGTAAGTTATGATGTTTTGTTTGTATTAAAAAAAATACATAGGAATTAGAATAGATTATGCCGGGGCCAGTAAGATGGCTCAATTTGCTAATCCTCAGCCTGCAAACTCTGGCATCCCATATGGACGCAGTTCATGTTTCGGCTGCTCCACTTTCTTTCCCTTCTTGTGGTCTAGGAAAACAGTGGAGGACAGCCCAAAGCCTTGGGACCCTATGCCCACGTGGGAGACCTGAAGGGACTCCTGGCTCCTAGCTTTGGATTGGTTCAGCAACGTTTGGGGAGTGAACTAGCAGATGGAAGATCTTTATTTCTGTCTCTCCTTCTCTGTGTAAATCTGCCTTTCTAATAAAAATAAATAAATCTTAAAAAATAGATTATGTCCCATAACTATAAAAAAAATTCCTGAAAGAGAATGCCTAAAAAGGAAAACTTAGAAATGTTACCAATAACGCAGCTTGGGGGCATGAACAGACCTGGAACCCATCACCCCATTTTCCAAAGCCTATGTTGTATTACTCTACAAAATAAAATACAGTACATTAAAAATGCCCTTGAATTTGAAAAAAAAAAAAGTTGTCTGATTCTTTGGAAAAAAGAATATTTATGTCCAAATAAAATTCTAAGCATCTATATCAGTGAATCCTCACACTAGCCAAATTTTCTATTCCCTACTGATTTTGCAGCTCTTGGAAGGCTTCTAGCAAAATGTTTGGAAGGCTATGTAGCAAAGTGAAAAACCATTTCTGATACAGGATGCAAATTTTAAAAAATAGGATACTAGAGAAAATATATAGTACTATTATAGCAATGTAAAACATGCATTTATAAAGGTTAGGATATAGTACACAAAAATAATAATGATAGGATTTGGGGTTTCTGGATGATTTTACAATTCCTCCAGCTTAAAAAAAATGTATTTTTTAACAATGTAAACAAAAATAAGAACTGTATCCAATGTTACATTATTGAGAGAAGTAAAGAGGGGCATCACATCGCTTTCAGATGGGAGCATAGTCTCAGGACTTATTCTCTACCAACGTCAAACTGAAAGTTCTGGAAAAGCTACTACACACCTGATGTGTGTTGAATGAAGGAGTCTTTCCAGTGGTTCGTGTTTGGCACAAGTATAGAGGAGTGGTTTAGGATTGGTGATCAGAACCACAGGCCACTTGCCGAAAGAGAGATCTGCAAAGCTGAAGAGGTCATGATCAAAAGCAAAGATCCGGTACCTAGAGAGCACACAATAGCAAGGTCAATTAGTGACTTCATGATTTAAGAGGATAATGAAGACAACGCACAGAATAAACATAAAAATACAGAACTAGGACTTTTTCACATGATAGCTTGAATACAGAGTAAATAATACTGCTTCCCTATCTTTCTCCCATAGTCCTGTCATTTCATCCTAAATATTTGTCACATCAGCTGGGATCTGACGGAGGTAATAAATTCAACTCTACCCTAGAATAATGCCTGGTATATAACATGCGTCTTTAAATTCTTTCCATAAATATTTGCCTGATTAATTCATTTTATTTTTTTTCAAAGATTTATTTTTATTATTTTGTTATTGGAAAGGCAGATATACAGAGAGGAGAGACAGAGAGGAAGATCTTCCGTCCTATGATTCACTCCCCAAGTGAGCGCAACGGGTCGATACTATGCCGATCCAGAGCCAGGAGCCTCTTCTGGGTCTCCCACGCGGGTGCAGGGTCCCAAAGCTTTGGGTCATCCTCGACTGCTTTCCCGGGCCACAGGCAGGGAGCTGGACGGGAAGCGGGGCTGCCGGGATAGAACCGGCGCCCATATGGGATCCCGGTGTGCAAGGACCTTAACCACTTGCGCCACTGCGCAGGGCCCAATTCATTTTATTTTTATACAGTACTTTAAGACTTCCTTGAACCTAAGATACTCATCATAAGCCAAATACTTCCACCAGCAGTGCTGTGGAACAGAGATCACTGATAAGAGCACGATTAGAAATCGATCATGCTCCTTTTATATCTTTACTTCTATAATTTAAAAAAATTAAAGTTCTCTTGCTTTTTCAAATGTACAATGAAAGGTATAAAATATTAATTAAGGAGGAACCACAGTTTTATAATTTCCAACTTTTGAAAGTGAGAAAACAAATGATTAACCATAGCACAAACTAGTGGTAACTCAAGACAATGAGCTCCTGGGCATCTCCCAGTCCCCCTGGCTTTAGACTGGGCAATGTGTCTAGTTCTGGCCAGGAGCTATGAACACAAGCGGCATGCAGCACACTTCTGCTCCAGAAGACTTGAGAGTGTTGTTGAGGTCTCTATATTTTCTTCCCTGCCCTGTTTTTGGCGTGTTGAAACAACGACATCATGAGAAGGAGGAAGACTAAATCCTTGAGTCATCCTATGAAGGAGATGTGCCCCAACTCATACTGGATTTATATGAATGAATAATAAACATTTATTATGTTAAGTCACTGATAGTTCTGGATTTATTGGCATCCACAAGAAGGCACAGCCTTGTATTAATATACATTAACTATTTATTTTTTTTTTACAAATTATATTATAACTAATACAAATTAAATGCTTCTGAGGGAAGGTAAGGATTAGATCTTTGAGTAAAACTTACAAACCCCAGGATGAAGCACAGGGAAGGGAAAGAGAGGAAATGGTTTCATAATTAACATCACAACTTGCAACTTCAGCATTTAGAAGAAATAAAGAAGCTGATCAAGGGTTCAGAAGGCTATGTGACAAAGGGTAATCACAGCCCAGCCCACAGTCTCACGGCCATGAACAAGCTGGTCTTGGCTCAAAGTAATTGTAGTTGCCAAGTAATTATATGTTGCCAGTATAGCTCTTAAAACATTTTATAGAAATGCCAACTAAAATGAAGAAGTGCCTTCCAAGATGGAAAGCTGCTTTTCTTAAATAATAAAAGTAATTAAAAATATGATGAAACATTGAGTTCCAAAATACTTGCTGAGTGCCTAATATTTCAATAGTATTAGAACTAAGTTAAATAAAAATAAGTTAATAATAATTAAAAATGGGATGACATTCTTTAAATAATTTCACTTAAACACTTTAAGAAAGAGAAAAATACCCATACTATACTGTTCTAAGATTTATTTTTAATTTTTATTGGAAGTATTTACAGAGAGGAGACACAGAGAGGAGACACAGAAAGATCTTCCATCCGCTGGTTCACTCCCCAAGTGGCCACATCGACTGGAGCTGATCTGATCCAAAGCCAGGAGCCAGGAGCTTCTGGGTCTCCCACGCAGATGCAGGGTCACAAGGCTTTGGGCAGTCCTCTGCTGCTTTCCCATGCCACAAGCAGGATGGGATACGAACTGACACCCAGTGATTGTAAGACGAGGACATTAGCCATTAGGCTACAGTGTCGGCCCCATACTATACACTTTGATAAACACATTTATGGTCCTTACCCATATGGGAGACTGATATGAAGCTCCTGGCTCCTGGTTCCAGCTCATACCAGCCCTAGCTGTTGCAGCCATTTGGGGCGTGGGTCAGTCTAGCTCTCCCTCTCTTTCCATGTTGAGGAGTGAACCAGCCTCTCTCTCTTTCTCTCTTTTTAACTGTTTTTCAAATTAAAAATAAATAAATAGATAGATAGATGGATAGATCCTAAAGAAACCAATCTATGTCCCAAGCTTTCCTTAACTGGATCACATTCAGTATAAATAAGAAAACTATCATTGCTTCAGCATGTTAGTTTCACTTGATGGGCTAGATCACTCACCTTCTGTTATCCTTCCAGTCTCCCACTTCAAGTTCCAAAGTGCCCTGGGAGTGACGGGTATGCAAAACAGGCATCAGCCCACCAAGTGTATGGAGGTGCCCACAGAAATAAGCAGTAGCTGAACTAACCAATTAAAAAGAAATGGAATTAGTGAATGGAGATAACTTGTGACATCAAACTAACTGAAATGGCTCTTCAGGAACGCAAGGTAGGTGCAGCCATGTAAAAGAACTTGGGTTTTGGAAGCCTGTCTCACCTCATTATTGATCGGATTCCTGGTGATGGAGAAAGGATAGTGGATGTTGTAAAGTGTCCAAACCAAATTGTGTGATTGCTCCGGCTACTTTCCTTGGACAACTGTAAGAGCTCCCTCATTCGTTTCTGAAATACAATGAAAATGGAAGATTGTTCATTAGGCTTAAAGTAGAAATCTAATGGCAACAGATTTAAACATTTGCCATGATGTCTTATAATTATTGTCTTATGGGTATAAACTTTACTAGTCAGTGGCTTATCTGAACCTCTGCAACTTCCAAACTATTTCCACATACAATATAATTAATGTAATCCTAAGAGTAACTTGGAGTAAGGCACAAATTACCACTTTTTGATAAGGAATCTGAGAGGTAATGAAGTTATCATTAATCTTTTCAGCTTTGCATATCATGCTGCATTAATGAACAGGTGACTGAAACTAAATTCCTTTTTTCTTGAATTATAAAGAAAGAGGGAGAGACAGAGAGATCTTCCACCCACTAGTTAATTCCCCAAACATCAATAACAGCCAGAGTTGGACCAGGCTGAAGCCAGGAGCCAGGAACTTCTTCCAGCTCTCCCAGATAGGTACAGGGTCACAAACACTTGGGCCAACTAGACACAGCAGAAGGAGCTGGATCACAGGTGGTTCATTCAGGACTTTAACTGGTATCCATTTGGGATTCTGATGCTCAACTGGTAGCTTAACAACTGTGCCACAGCACCGAGCTTGAAACTAAATTTGTAAAATAAAACATCTGTACCTACACAGAACAACTTTGTACCTCAATGTTCATCACAGCTGTACTTGTACTAGCCAGCAGCTACAGTGAGCACATTGCAATAAATCTGTACAAAGGAATAGTATTTAGCAATAAAAAAAATGACTACTGCTACACACAACAATAAAAAATTAATCTTAGGAATATGCTGAGCAAAAGAAATCACAGCCAAGTATACACACTCGATGATTTCATTCACATAAACCTGTAAAACAAATGAAACTAATCAGTAAAGAGAAAATAGCAGTCAGAGGTTCCAAGGGGTGACAATAGATTATACAGGGAGAAACTGCAGAGATGGGAATGTTCGATTTCTTCACTGCGCAGCAGTGTCACAACATGTACATTTATCAAAACTTCACACATGTAAGCATTTTATTTTATGTAAATGATGTAAAGTTGATTTGAAGGGATAACTTCCAAGTAAATAAATACGTATTGATGTTATTTATAAAGTGCTTTTAGCACTAAATTTCTGGGCTCTACCCTCAGGGCTTCTAAGCTGATTAACCTGGGGTAATGCCAGGGAATTTACATTTCATAATATTCTAGTTATTTTAAATAAATTAATCTGTGGGCCAGAACTGTGGCATAGTGGGTAAAATCACCTTTAGGAACGCTGGCATCCCAAACTGGTGCATATTTGTATCCTAGCTGTTCCAGTTGTAAACCAGCTCCGTACTAACAGCCCAGGAAAGCAGCAGAAGACATTCCAAGTGTTTGGGCCCCTACATCCATGTGGGAGACCTAGATGAAGCTCCTGGCACAGTCTTGGCTATTGTAGCTATCTGAGAGCTAAACCAGCAGATGGAAGATTGAGCGCTCACACTCTCTCTTTCTCTTCCTTTCTCTCTGGAACTTTTAAAAATTACATAAATAAATATATATTTTTTTAAAAATTTACTCCAAAGTAACTTGAACAAAGACACATGGTGGACAGGAAACAAAGTCTAGTTGAATTAAATTAAATGCTGAAAATAGCACAATGTATGACAAAATTCTGTTCGACTTGATTTCAAGACCATTTCAAGGCATGTGAGAGGCAGGCTTGTTGGCACAGGTTAAACTGGCACTTTCAACACCTGCATCCCATTTTAGAGTGCCTGGTTCAAGTCTTGAATACACTATTTCGATCCAGTTTTTTTTTTGTTTTTGTTTTTTGTTTGTTTGTTTACTGATGTGAGTGGGAAGTCAAGAGATGAAGGTTCAAGGGCTTGGGTCACTGCCACTCATGTGACAGAACTGAATGCAGTGCTGGCTTCTGGGTTTAGCCTGCCCAATCCTGGCTGTTTAGGCTATTAGGCAATAACCCAACAGTTGGAAGCTTTCCCACTCTATCACTTGAACTTTCAATCACATTTTGAAGTGAAAAAAAACCTGTTGAACCATCACATCACTCTTACCCTCTTTCAACCACTTGGAAAATTCTGCTGTTTACTGCAATTATTTCTTATATCCTACCACTAGATTAAATATTCTCAGAGGCCAAGGACTTGACCTTATAACCTTTGTACTCTTACTTATAATGGCACATATGTCTTACAGAGGTGTACATGCTCACTAAATACTGAGTTGGCATTTGTTAGACCAAGGTACAAAGAGAGGTTCTTATGTGTGACTGTACAGATAGCTATAATCCAGTGACAGTTTTAATAATCTTGGCAAAAATATTTAAAAAAAAAAAAGCCTTATCTACTTTAACCATTGTCCTTACTTACTATAAAAAGACTACTAGTTAGAATGGGCAAGTGTGAGGATGTAGTAATGAAATACACAGCACACAAAGTTACATACCCTGCACATTGCAAAATACATATTGCATTTAGTACATATTTAGCAAGCATTTACTGAAGAAACATAAGCTGTGAGGTACTTCTTTTCCAAATTTGGGGGTAAGAACAGGGATAGTTAATAACAGTGCTGAAGTAACCTAACTTCTAGCCACATCTGCAATCTACAGTTGTACATAAGAACTTGTTTACCTAAGAAACTTTAAGTGATCCATATGTATCTGGGATAAAAGTAAAAACAGATAAACTACAAAGGGAAGTGAGACTTTTACTGTACCTCATCTAAAATTCCAAAGAAATTATAAGGTCTCTTAGGACCGGGATCTTGGGTGGCGTCCACATAGATGAAAGAATAGTTGCCAAAGGGAGTACTGTGGACATAATGGAAAGATCCATCCCTACGTACAGCAGAATATTTCCTAAAAAATACAAGACAGGAAAGTTTTAGTGCAATCATGAAAAGGCGGGGTGAGTTTAGATTCCTCCACTATTATAACACCAGATTTTGCCTTCCTTTGGAAAGGAGATTTGCTCAACCAGTAGAGAAACATACTATATTAGATCTTCAACAGATAAATTGGTTAAAAGAATTTTTAAAGGTTTTCTTCTACTGCCTCCAAAGTCTCATGCAAACTAATTGATCAATAACGAAAGTAAGGTCTCCAAGAAAGCAGAGAATTAAGAAGAGCGGTTTTAGGCAATCCATTAAATAGTGAAAAAGAAGTGAATAGGAATCCAGCAAAATAATACTTACTCATTTAAAAATTTAACAAGAGCCTACTAAGTACGTCTGTAAATTCTCAGCGAAAATATGAGAGGCCTTCAGAAAGTATATGGAAAGCATTTACTCTTAGAAAAGAAACTATGGATGCATTTCAACCTTTTCTGTACCAAAATAAACTTAATTTTTCATTCCATTTTCTAAAAACTTGTTGATGTGTCTGTTTACAGAAAGTGTTTACTTCTTGCAACAAGTCTAACGAGGTTTAGTTCAAAAAAAGGCCTCGCAAAGATGAACATCATCAAGCCATGGAAATGCTACTTAGTTGGGGTCAGTAAATAAATGTTTTTCAGTTCCTATACAAATACTGGTAATGGGCCTGGCAGGGTAGCCTAGTGGCTGAAGCCCTGCCTTACATGTACTGGGATCCCATATGAGAACTGGTTCCAGTCCCAGCTGCCCCACTTCCCATCCAGCCACCTGCTTGTAGCCTGGGAAAGCAGTAGAGGATGGCCCAAAGCCTTGAGAACCTGCACGTGTGTGGGAGACCCAGATGAAGATCCTGGCTTCAGATTGGCTCAGTTCTGGCCATTGCAGCTGCTTGGGAAGTGGACCAGTAGATGGAAGATCCTTCTGTCTGTAAATCTGCCTTGTCAATAAAAATGAATAAATCTTTAAAAAAAGAAAAATTACCAGTATCGGGTCTGGTGTGATAGCAAAGCCTAGTGGCTAAGTCATCGCCTTGAATGCACCGGGATCCCATATGGGCACCGGTTCTAATTTTGGCAGCCCTGCTTCCCATTCAGTTCCCTGCTTGTGAACTGGGAAAGCAGTCAAGGGCGGCCCACAGCTTTGGGACCCTGCACCAGCGTGGGAGACGCAGAAGAAGCTCCTGGCTCCTGGATCAGCACAGCTCTGGCTATTGAGGTCACTTAGGGAGTGAATCATCGGACAGAAGATCTTCCTGTCTGTCTCCTCCTCTCTATATATCTGTCTCTCCAATAAAAATAAATGAATCTTTAAAAATATACTGATAACACATACAGGTCCACACCACTTTAAATATGAACAGTGCTCAAGGTCCATAAAGTTAGGGCGTGAAAGGCAGGGAGAAAGGGTGTTCCCAGAGGGCAGGCACTCATTATTAACATTTGTAGAATAAATGACAAGGAAAGTATAGATTCTACTAAGTGGATATCTATATGACTCAAATGTCAGCACAGCGTAAAAAATGTTGGTATCATCTACTGTAACTTCGTAACCCTGTTCCACCAAACCTCTGTAACCTCATTGTGTTGTACCTGATGGCCCTATCCACCAATCCCTCACGGCCCTGTTACCTGCCCCCTGGACACAAAAGCATGATCCCGCGTGTGTCCCTGCCCTTCTTGCTCTCTGCTCTGGTCTTCTCTCTGTCTGTCTCTTTCTGTCCCCACTTTCTCCTTGCCCCGCAGCTACCTCCCCCCGACACAAAGGACCTCTCATGTGGCTCAAAAAGAAAAAAAAAAGTTGGTATCATGATTTGTTTAAGCATGTTATATTATGTTTTACCTTATGGAACATATTAAAATATACAGATTTCTGAAATTAATTTACTTGAAGGGAGCTATATCTAACCCATAGTGGTTATCAATGTAGTCAAAGAAAAAACAATATAGACGTTACAATTAATTCTCAGAAATGAGCCAAATTTATATTAAATAAAGTCAACTAGTTCTGCTGTTCTTCTTGGTAATAAGATTTCCCCCAAAAATTCATTCTTAGTCTTCATAGTCTTATTAATCTCATAGAAGTTGTTTATTTTGGTGTGTTTTTTTTAATATATTAAACTCCAACTATCTAAACATCTATCTAGGGGGACAGGAGTGTTGTGGTAGAGCAGGTTAAGATGCTGCATAGGAGGATGACATCCCATAGAGAGTACCAGGAATCCTGTCCCATCTCTGCTTCCAATCCAGCTCCCTGTTAATGTGCATCAGAGGCAGCAGATGATGGCCCAAATACTTGAGTCCTACCATCTGAGACCCACATGGAGGAGTTTAAGGTTTCTGGCTTCAGCCTAGCCCATTCCCAGCTGCAGCAGGCAGGACCACAGGATACAAGATTATTTTTTTTCTCTGTTGTTCTGCCTTTTAAATATATAAAAAATGAATGACAAACACTGAGTAAATAAAATGTCTGAGTAGATGTTTGGCTCAGGAGTTAAGAACCCTTCATCACATTTCAGAGTGCCTGGTTTTGAGTCACAGCCCTGCTAATGATTCTAGCTCCCCGCTAGTGTATACCCTAGGAGGCAGCAGTTGAGACTATTGAACCCACACTCCAGTGCCCGGATTCAATTCCTCACTCCAGCTTCCTGACACTGCGGACGCTGGAAGGCAGCAATGATGGACCAAGTAGTTGGTTTCCTGACACTCATATGGAAGATCTATTGAATTTTAAGCTCCTGCTTTCAGCCCATGCCAGGCCCTGCACTATTTCAGGCATCTGGAGATAAAGCAATCAATAGTGGCACTCAATCTCTCTTTCATAAGCACAAAAAAAAATTCTAATAATAAAACAGGTGCTGACATTATGGCATCGCGGGTAAAGCGGGTAAAGCATTCCATGTGGGTGCAAGTTCATGCTCTTCCTGCTCTACTTCTTTATATATGATTTTTAAAAAGAAATTATGTTTAATTTACATAAAATTAGTAGATTTCACATTTTTCACATTACGTATTTACAAGCATAGTTATTTCATCCTCCCCCTCGGCCCTCCTCCCCTTCGGCCCTCCTCCCTCCCTATCTGACCCAGCTCCCTGCTAACGCGCCTGGGAAGACAGCACAAGTGCCTGGGCCTCTGCAGCCATGTAGGAGACCAGGATGAAGCTTCGGCTTTCAGCTTGACTCTGGCTATTGTGGCCATCTGGGGAGTAAGCTATCAAAATGGTAAACATATCTCCTTCTCTCTTTGTAACTCTTACTTTCAAATAAATAAATAAATGTTTTAAAATTTAAAAATATGACTTTAATACCACTTTTTGAATTCTGGATTTTTAGATTTTCTAGAGGTAGGGTTTTTTCATAATTCCTTACTATCTTTTTTTTTTTAAGATTTATTATATTTTTATTGGAAAGTCAGACATACAAAGAGGAGGGGAGACAGAGAAGAAGATCTTCTGTCCACTGATTCACTCTCCAAGTAGCTGCAACAGCCAGTGCTGTGCTGATCCTAAGGCCAGGAGCCAGGAGCTTCTTCCGGGTCTCCCACGCAGGTGCAGGGTCCCAAGGCTTTGGGCCGTCCTTACTGCTTTCCCAGGCCACAAGCAGGGAGCTGGATGGGAAGCAAGACTGCCGGGATTAGAACCGGCGACCATATGGGATCCTGGCGCATGGAAGGAGACAGCTTTAGCTACTAGGTTACTGCGCCATGCCCTGCATTTTTTTTTAAGATTTATTCTATTTTTATTTTAAAGACAGATATACAGAGAGAAGCAGAAACAGAGAGAAAGATCTTCTGTCTGTTGGTTTACTCTCCAAGTGGCCGCAGTGGCTAAAGCTGAGCCGATCTGAAACCAGGAACCAGGAGCCTCCTCCAAATCTCCCACACGGATATAGGGTCCCAAGACTTTGGGTTGTCCCCTACTGTTTCCCAGCCACAATCAGGGAACTAGATAGGAAATGGAACAGCCGGGACTCAAACCAGCACCCATATAGGATCTTGGCACATGTATACAAGGCCAGAATTTAGCCACTAGGCTATTTGCTGAGCTCTATAATTTTATTCCTTACATGTTATAAACACACAAGAACTATTCTCTTTTCATCACACATTTGGTAAAAGTTTTTAACATTGGGACAAAGCTTTTAGTGTGCTACATTGGTTCTAAGTATCCTAAATACTTGTTAGCATAAGTCTAAACTGTTATTTTTAAATTAGTCTACAATGTATCTCTATTGTTACATACAATATAATATAATGTGACATTAATTTTTTTCCCCCAAATTTTTGGAATTGAATTTTGTTCTAAGAAAAATCAGGTAAATTGTCAGATATTCAGAAAAAGTAAACTCTATTCACTCATAAAATACATGTTAATCCCATAAAATGGCTCTATAATGGTTCTATAAAAGAATCTTGGTGGAGATATGCCAAAATGTTTTATTTAGGAAAAATCTGTATTTTTGGTATTCTTAAGATTAGAGTTTTGCTTTGTGGCATAGCAAGTTAAGCTATTGCCTGCAACATAAGTACCCCATTCAGGTGCTGGTTTATGTTCTAACCACTCTGCTTCTGATTCAGCTCCCTGGTCATCCATCTGGGGAAGCAATGGAAGATGATAAAAAATCTTGGGCCTTGACCATCCATGGAACAATCAGATTAAGCTTGTGGTTTCACCTTGGTCTAACCTTATCAGTTGGCATCCTCTGGGGAGTGAATTAGCATTTGGAAAATCTCTCAGCCTCTCCCTCTGTCTTCATGAAACTCTGCTTTCAAGTGAATAAATAAACATTTTTTTAAAAAATAATCAAGATTTAGCTCTAAAAAATTGCCTTCAAGTGTACATGCCTACAAAATATGTATCTCGGGCCCAGCACGGGCCTTGCCTTGCATATGCCAGGATCCTATAAAGGTGCCAGTTTGTGTCCTGGCTGCTCCACTTCCCTTCCAGCTCCCTGTCTGTGGCCTGGGAAGGTGGTCGAGGAGGCCCAGGGCCTTGGGACACTTCTCTCATGTGGAAAACCCAGAGAAAGTTCCTCATGGCTTCAGCTCCAGTCATTGCAGCCACTTAGGGGAGTGAATAAGCAGAAGGAGGATCTTTCTGTTTCTCCTTCTCTCTGTGAATCTGTCTTTCCAATAATAATAAATAAATATTTTTAAAAATGTGTATCTTTTGCAAAATGCCATTTATTAAATGCAGATAAAGTTTAGGTGGCTAGGTACAAAAATACAAAAGAAACTTTAAATCACAGATCACTTTACTTTCACAATAACTATTGAGACTCCAGCTATTCAGTCCTATAATTCTTTTTGGAAATATCTCATGATCCCATGTCCTTAGTCACCATCTAACAGCACTGAATAGAAAAGGTTTTCATCTGTCCTCTTCCTTTCTCACATTATGAAAGACAATCACTTCTTCCAAGTTAGTGACACCAGTCATAAAATCAGTCAGTCAAACCAATGCTTTTTGATCCAACCTCTCCAAGCTGACGTCAATGTTCCCTTGTCCCAGGACTCTGTTCAGAGAGATATGCTCTGTGTATTTTCCAGGCCCTTCCAATACTGTAACTGGACTGGAGCAGGACCTCCTATTTTATCTACAGAATTCTGATCTCTCCCTAGCTTTTTCTTTTTCAACCCTCTCTCTCTTTTTTCGGTTGTGAGAAGGCCCTCTAAAAAATACTATTTTCTGGGCCCACCATGGTGGCCTAGTGGCTAAAATCCTTGCCTTGAACGCGCAGGGATCCCATATGGGCACCGGTTCTAATCCCGGCAGCTCCACTTCCCATCCAGTTCCCTGCCTGCAGCCTGGAAAAGCAGCCAAGGACGGCCCAAAGCCTTGGGATCCTGTATCCGCATGGGAGACCTGAAGGAAAGTTATTGGCTCCTGGCTTTGGATTGGTGCAGCACTGCCCACTGCAGTCACTTGGGGAGTGAATCATCAGACATAAGATCTTCCCCTCTGTATATCTGACTTTGCAATAAAAATAAATAAATATTTTTAAATACTATTTTCATTATATCAATTGGCAGCAGATTATGACTACTACCTATCACATCTAAATTTCTGTGCTTGTTATTCATGACTTCCATAAACTGGACCTAAACAACATGTCTTGTATCAGAAAAGTCCTCAATAGGAATCTATATTGTCGTGACAACAAGTTTCTTTACTGCCACCTCTCCCTTCTGCACCCCAAACTCATTCTAGTTTTTAAAGGTCTGTTGATGCCTCTCCTTTTGCCTAATACACATACTCCTTGGCATTTTCTACTTCTCTGAATGCAATCTCCTTATTAAGTCTGGACACAATTTTCATTTCATTTATAAAGTCTTGTCTATGTCTACTCCATGGTCTATCTTTTCTAACCTTCGTGGTGATTATCATGTACCCCAAATAATTTAGCCTTTCATTAATTAGCCTTTCCTCACCATTTCCTAAACAATTCTTAACTCCCTGAAGTAAACTAAAAATTCCTTGAGGACAGAGGCCACATTTTTAAACATTACCCCCTTTAGTTCTCAAGCTATCCAACTAGGGATGGACTCTTGCTACATGACTGATAAAGCAGAACAAAGCCACTGGATACACAGGAACTGAAAGGGAAATTGCAACTAAAAGAAGAATCTCAACACACTGAAACTAAAGAATTGATTTTCTAGCTTAGGAATTCCCTAGCCTTTTTTTCCCCACATTTGTAACATGCAATGAAAATTTCAACATCTGGATGAGATGGAATGAAAGGACAAAGCAGTTAGGGCTGAACAACTGGACTCCCCTGCCACCCCAGAGGCTGAGGGCATCAAAGGTCTCAGCATTCTGAAAATCCTCTGACTTCAGCTGGCAAGCTCTGATCTCAACACTTCTGCTATGAATCCATGGCCAGAAAATACAACCAAAGAAGTCGCCATGGAGCATTAAAGTACCAGCACACGTTATAGTATCTGCACCTGCTCTTAACAGATGCTACAAAATGTTCTGTTCTCTGTTCAGTACAGTACCTGTAGTAGTTCCGGACGCTGTCCAGACTTGGAATGTTGTATGCATCTAATCAAACAGAAAAAAAATATTAAGAAGAAAAATCCAGATATGTTAATGACAAAAGAAAAATGACAGTTCTTCCAACAACCCTTAAAATGGGATAATACCAGTCAATTATACTGACAATCTTCTAAAGATTTATTTATTTCTATTGAAGGCAGATATTCAGAGAGGGGGAAAGAGAGAGAGGAAGATCTTCCGTCCATTGATTCAATCGGCTGCAATGGCTGGAACTGAGCCAATCCAAAGTCAGGAGCCAGGAACTTCTTCCAGGTCTCCCACACGGGTGCAGGGTCCCAAGGCTTTGGGCCGTCCTCGACTGCTTTCCCAGGCCACAAGCAGGGAGCTGGATGGGAAGCAAACTGCCGGGATAGAACTGGCACCCATATGGGTTCCAAGCACACTCAAGGCAAGGACTTTAACAACTATGCTATCATGTCTGGCCCTATATTGACAATTTTAAAAACTTCATAGCTTAAATAATTCAGATTATTGAAATGCTTTAAGGCACCTATATCCTAGAGAATAGTTTCTTTGAATTATATAAATACAGAATGAATCAATTTAAAGTTACAGGAATAGACTATGCTGTTGCGGCTTTAATCGTATGGTTCTGAAAGGAAGGCAGAAGAAATTCTAAATGGTAAATACTTCTGGTAACAGGAAAATCTCTTAAATCTTAGAAAAGCTTCAATGGGAAAGATGTTGTACAATGGTACAGTTAAAAATATCATAGATAAAATGAAATAATAAAAAAAAATACCATAGAACAGGGCCAGGCGCAATAGCATAGTGGTTAAAGTCCTCAACTTGCACGTGCCGGGATCCCATATGCTCGCCGGTTCTAATCCCAGAGGCCCTGCTTCCCATCCAGCTCCCTGTAGTTGGCCTGGGAAAGCAGTCGAGGATGGCTCAAAGCCTTGGGACCCTGTACCTGTGTGGGAGACCCAAAAGAGCTCCAGGCTCCTGGCTTCAGATTGGCTCAGCTCTGGCCATTGTGGCCACTTGGGAAGTGAACCATAGGATGAAAAATCTTTCTCTCTGTCTCTCCTGCTCTGTAGATCTGCCTTTCCAACAAAAATAAATAATCTTTAAAAAATATATATCATAGAACATTGGTGCCTGGCACAGTGGCCTAGCGGCTAAAGTCTTCATCTTGAATGTGCCAGGATCCCATATGGGTGCCAGTTCTAGTCCCGGCAGTTCTGCTTCCCATCCAGCTCCCTGCTTCTGGCCTGGGAAAGCGGTCAAGGATGGCCCAAAGCCTTGGACCCTGCAAATTACATAATAATTATTATTTTTTCATATTTACTACTTGAAATAAGGAAGACAGTAATTTGGATTGGAAAGCTTTTAAAAATATAAACAGGTTTGCTATTTACCAGGAATCATTTTGACCTATACCGCTAATTATGATCAGGCAAAAGGGAAAACATGGCAGAGAAAGCTGTAAGGCAGACGGCCTATTTCTTGAACTGATAATTCTGAGTTGTCCAGAAAAATTTTGTTAAACAAACAAAACATTTTCTGATCAAGACTATAATTGTATATTTTAGCAAGAACTATCTAATTAAAAATGACACATTGGGAAGATACAATAAACAGGTTATTCATCAGCTATTAATGACTAAATGAAGTCATTAATTAATAAATGAAGTACTTAACTAATGAGAAAGTCAACCTTTATGAAACAAATACATCTCTCCTCAGGACTCTTCTGAAGTGTTCATTTTCTTCCCAACACAACAATGATCATCTAAAATCTGCTACAGTTTAAACATTTGCCTTTGTCTATGGGGATGTGTTTATAAGGAAACAAATTCCAATTTACATACAGTAAAATCCATTCTCTGTGATGTACAATCCTGTGTATCTTGATAGATATAAGCATGTAGGATCTACTTCTACAGGCCCGGCGCAATAGCCTAGTGGCTAAAGTCCTCACCTTGCACATGCCAGGATCCAATTCCCATCCAGCTCCATGCTTGTAGCCTGGGAAAGCAATCAAGGACAGCCCAAAGCCTTGGGATCCTGCTCCTGGGAAGAGGCTCCTGGCTCCTGGCTTCAGAATGGCTCAGCACCAACCACTGTGGCTACTTGGGGAGTGAATCAACAGACAGAAGATCTTCCTCTATGTCTCTCCTCCTCTGTATATTCCAACTTTACATTAAAAAAAACCTTAAATATATATATAAAATATATATATTTACATATAAATACATATTTATTTAAGATTTTTTATATATATATATATTTCGGTGCCAGCATTGCAGAGGCAAGTAAAGCCACTGCTTGGAAGCCAGCATCCTACATGGGAATCAGCTGCTTCATTTCAGATCCAGCTCGAGGACAATGGTCTGGGAAGAGCAGAGGAAGAGCAGAAGAAGGGGCCCAGGATCTCAGGTCCCTCCTGCTCATGTGGGAGAATTCAAAGAAGCTCTGGCTCCAGGTGTGGTCATACAGGGAGTAAATCAACAGATGGAAAATCTCTATCTCTCCCCTCTCTTAACTCTTTCAAATCAATAAGTCTTTTAATATGTAAGTGTATACATACCTGCCTGCAAGACTTCCATGCACTGAAGAAAAGACCGTACTTCGAACTCTAAGGACTAATGGTGATATACGGCCTATCTAGTATTACAATGTTCTGTGTTAGAGTTTCACCATATTAAGTGCAGAAAACAAACGTTTTCATTTGATTTGGGTCTGTACTCTTACCATGATTTCCTTTGATATCCAGCCACTTAGTTTTTTCCAACACTCTGGTCTTCTTCAGAATATTCTGGTAAGTTTGCCATTCTATCTCATGCTGCCTGGATCCCAACTGTTCCTTTGTTTTGGCATCTGTCAAGTCTCCTGCAGGTTTAAGTAAGAATTGAATCACTGTGCAAATTAACTCCAGGAGGCTCAAATGTTAAAAAAAAAATTAAAAAATAAAAAATAAAGGCATACTGAATGCACAAAGATACTTCAAGTGCCCCATGTGTGGGAAGATAAACTCATGAGTTCACTTATGCCTAGGGCAGTATCTAAATAAACAATATTTTCTCAACCAGGGCTCCATTTTTTTCTGGTTAGTCCAGTGCTCATTGCACCTCCAGGGATTCTAGAAACGAGTTGGTTGTGGGGGAGTGAGATTAGCCTTTAAAGAGAGCAGTACAGGGTGTATCAATATACTGATAACATGGAGTTCCTTTATCAGAAAGACCAACACTGGGCAGGTGCTTAACATTTATGAACATAACACTTCCCAATCCCGAAATGTGAGCTGATCATGTCTTATTTTCCCATTAGCAGGCAGTCTGAAAGGTGTCATTCAGAAAACAAAACAGCAAAATCTCTTGGAAATGAAAAAGAACACTTGAAATGGGGACCAGTTCATAAAGTGTGGAGAACCACCCCATCATCACATCATGTCAGCACAGGGGTTTCCATCAGGAGAGGAACAGATTCATAGCCCAATGAATAGGTTCTGCCTCTTCCCACAATGACCCTGGGGAGCCGGTGGTCAAGAGTTTGAAAAGCTCAGAGCACCCAAGCCACAAAAGTATCAAAGGGTGAAGAAAGAGTGCCCCATGAGACACTTGCAAGTATCAAGCTGAAAAAGCAGGAGATAGCTACTGCAGAAAAAAAAAGGGGGGGGGGAGAAATCATCTTTGGATTTGTTCAGTAAAAGGCTCTCCATAATTCTCTCTGAAATATGAAATTGCAAGAAGAATAACAACAAAAAAGAGACAAGCCCAGTAAGAGACCACATCAATGCCAGCAGCCCCCTCTTCCCTCTCCCACCGCTGCGGCTGACAACTGAGCGTGGACGGTCTCATCTCCTTCCTCTACCTCGGGGGGCTCACGGGGCTCACGGGGGTGGGGGTCTGTACGAACCGGTGGCTATCGAGACCCCTACATCCCCAGGAGTGAAAAGCTGGCGAGCTCCGGCTAGCATTCTACCGATCAGAGCACGGCAACCCGCCCCTACCTGTGGCTAGGACGAGGGCTGGTTGAATGATGTCAATAGTTTCAGAACAGAACTTCTCTAAGTCTAGCGCTCGGCCTGGATCCCGGTACCTGCTCACGTGAATGTCGGATATCTGCCGACAGAGGCGTCCGAGTCAGCAAGAGGCAGCACGGGGCTGGGGCTCTCTCAGGCAGAAGGGCAGGGAGAAGACGCAGTGTGCCAAAGACCCCCGCTCCTGCTCCTCCCAGGAAGGACCAGGCGCCACACAAATCCTCCTGAAGGACGTTACCCCCACCCCAACCCCACGAGTCTGGGGTCCCCCCACCACCACCCCCGGCTAGGCGAGGCGCGTCCTGCCCGCGCCGCCCCCACCCCGACCGCCGTCACCTGCAGACCCCAGAAGATGTTGCCGTCTCCGGGGCCCGGCGCCGGGTGCGGCCTCAGAGGGGCGCGGGGTTGGGGCAGCGGCGAGGGCGGGCCTGCCAAGCCGTAGTGCTCCAAGAGCAGGGCCGCCACCGCCGCGGCCGCCAGCCCCGCGACCACCCGCAAGGCCAGGGCTGCGGCCATGCCGCCCGCCAGTCGGGGCGCAACCCTCGCTGCTCCCCGGTGGGACTGCGCGGTGTCCCTTCCCGGGAGCCGCTCCGCCCGCACTTCCGGACTCTATGGTCCCGGGGCTGGACACCCGGCGCACGATAGCGCGGTGGAGGCGGCCGTCTGCACCTGCACCTCGCCGGGCTCCAGCCCCTCGGGCGGCCCGCGGCTGTCGGCTGGCTGTGCCAATGTACTGCGGACAAGGAAGAGGAAACCGAGACGCTCCGCGCCAACGACGGTGGCCGGGCGGTGGCCGGGCGGCGGCGGGAAGGGCGCCCGGGACCTGCAGCAGGCAGGCGGGGGCTGGGAGTCCTGGTGCCGCCTTGCTCCAAGCTTCCCGACCTCGGTGGGGACGGCTTCCTTCCTGGGAAGCGGAGTTAATAACACCCTCCTGCGTGTGCTTCGTAGGGTTTTGCGAGAATCGGAGTGAGGACGCCTTATTAAATTCCTCTCCAAAATGTGGCAGGTGGCTGTCCTGACCCCTTGTGGTTATTCACATGCCCTCAGTTTTCTGTAGGTCTACTTCCTTTGCTTCGTGAATTTTTTTTTCTTAGCCTGGTTTCACATGTGTGTGACTACCTAACATTGCAACACAGTGGTCTATTAGTCATTTAATAAGTATTACCTATATATATTTATTATAGGCCAGGAGCAGAATAAGATTCTGGCCCAGGTGTTAATTTACCTTACCACTCCCTTATTGTTGAGTTTTGGGATTGTTTGCTATGTCATGCTGTTCCAAACCAACATTTTTATACAAATAAAATTTTCATTTTTCAGATTGATTTGTTTTTATTTGAAAGCCAGATTGACCGAAAGGAGAGACAGAAGGAGTTATCAGAGCAAGCTACCATCTGTTCTTTCCCCAAATGGCTGCAGTGCCTGGAGCTGAGCTGCTCAGAAGCCAGGATCCAGAAACTCCTGGGTCTCCCACTTGGGTGCAGTGTCCCAAGGACTTGAGGCATCTTTTACTGCTTTCGCAGGCACATAAGCACAGAGCTGGATCAGAAGTACAGCAGCTGAGACTCGAATCAGCACACATATGGGCTGCTGACCTGACTACTGCACCGCTCTGGCCCCACAAATACCACTTTTTAAAAAAGCCCCATTTGAGTTATTTCCTTTGGATGTATTGCCAGTATTTATGCCAATTTAAATCTAGTAAGTGCATTTTGGATACTTTGAAATGAAAGACATTAATCTCGGCAGAAAACAGAAAGAACCATAAGGAATTAAAATATTGTTTATTACTTTAGGAGCTTTAGACAGAGATACAACTAATACATGTAATATGAGAATATGCTGTTTACCACTATGGGCTTCACATTTTTCTTAAGATTTATCTACTTGTTGTTTGAAAGGCAAAGTGACAGAGGGGGAGACAGAGAGAGATCTCCCATCTGTTGGTTTACTTCCCAAATATTTGCAATTTTTAGGGCTGGACTGGCCAAAGCCAGGAACTGGGGGAATCCATCCCTGTCTCTCACAGGAATAATGGACCCAAGTAATTCAACTATCCTGTGCTACCTTCCCAAGCTCTTTAGTACAAAGTTAGAGCCGCTGGAACTGAAGCTGCCACTCCTAGATGGTTCACAGGTAGTTTCAAGCAGTGACTTAACCACCTGTGGCATACTTCAAGCTCCTGTAAATTTATTTTTTTAATTCCTTTTTTCCATGATCTTTTTGAAGCGTTTTCATTAAAAGGCTGAGGGAATGTTAAAATCAGGAAAGATTATATCTTTGGAAAAGAATGAAAAAAATGCTTAAGGAAGTATCATATAAAGGAAGTGTTGTGTTGCTGGCTGGTGGAAACTTTGAATTGTGGTAAAGGGAAGCCCTGTCTTTCTTTCAGAGCCTAGCTACGTGAACTAATGCATTAAGGTGAGAAAGTACAGGGCCTGTGGAAGAGATGGTGAATATTTCAGATTGCCTGCGCCTAGCTTTGTGCCTAGAAGAATGGCCTAACTGGACAAGACCCTTGGCTTGAGCCACATTTTAAAATGCCTCTGTAAATATTAAAAAATGAAGACAGCAAGCTTCGCTTTGGCAAGATGGATCTGGCAGCCGCACAGACAGAGTAGAGGTGTGACAGAATCCTGTTGGGAGGAGACTGTTATGATACAAGTGTTACCAAGGCCCAGAGCGTGATAATCTGAGAGTGTGACATTGAGATTAGAAAGGATCAAATGTAAAAACCGTTAAGACAGAGACCACAGAACTTGATGGTTGATTGGATATTCAAGGGGAAAGGGGAACATTATTCAACATTGGTGCCAAAATGCAGAACCCTAGTGGCTGAGAGCCAGAGTATGTGTGGAGACAGCATAGCCCTTAGCAATGCAGTATTTTTCATTTTGCTTGATGCACCACAGGAAAAATTTGGGTGGGTATTTTCAAGTCAAAACTGAAAGATACAATAGAGATGACCTCATTTAAAACACAGGCAGTGGGATATAGGCAAAATGCATTTGGAAAGACTTTTGAGGAGACAGATAAAAAATTTTTTTGGAAATGTAGTACGAGAGATTCTGCCATAAGTGGTAGGGATAGACACATGATTAAGGTATTCTAGACAGGACAAACAGGGGTTAACACTACCCAGGCCAGCACTCTACTGCTGCCGAGCACTTCCTTCATGGCACTCAAAGTGAGTAGAGGCAGAGGATTTGTTTAAGGGGAATTAATGATTTTCAAAGGAAATACTGCTTTGACCAGCTGTGTACTGAACTGCAGTTCAGTGTAATCCATGTCTCCCAGGTCCTGACAGACAGTGATGAATGGATTTCTAGTTTCCTCGGAAGAAGTGTTAGTGGAAGCAGAGTGTTCCTTCGGGATGGTGCTAAGTAATCACCGCAAGCTGGAGCTGCTCAGACGAAAGGTTTCTGTGTGATCAATAAGACAATAGGGAAGAAAAGTTCCCTAAGAAAAGTGCTTGCCTGACACTGATGCTGAACTCTATGCTTGGTATATGCTTGCAATGAAGGAATCTCAACTGAACTTACACTGTGGTTATGCAACAAGGTGGAGGAATCTACCATGGGGGGAGGGTTTGGGGAGGGGTGGGGGGAATCCCAGTGCCTATAAAACGGTGTAACATAATGCAATGTAATTAATTAAATTAAAAAAAAAAAAGAAAGAAAAGTGCTTGCCTGAGAACAGTGTGCTAGAGCTTTTACAGTGAGGACCAAAGTCCAAAGCCTTGGGACCCTAAACCAGCATGGAAGATCTAGGAGAGGCTCCTGGCTTCTGGCTGCAGATTGACTCAGCTCTGGCTGTTGCCAGCAAATGGGGGATCTTTCTCTCTGTCTCTCTCCCTCTCTGTAGATCTGCCTTCCCAATAAAAAGAAATTAAAAAGAAATAAACCTTTAAAACACAAAGTGCAAAGAAAAAAATAGTTTTGGGTGTTCTGGAACATCCTCTGAAAAACAAACTGAAGCTGAAAGACTGAAACCAGTACGCTACACTATCCTAAATATTTTTCTTTTTTTTTTTTTTTAAAGATCTACTTATTTTTATTGGAAAGGCAGATTTACAGAGAGAAGAAGAAACAGAGAGAAAGATCTTCCATGTGCTGATTCATTCCCCAAGTGACTGCAATGGCTGAAGCCGAGCTGATTCAAAGCCAGGAGCCAGGAACTTCCTCCAGGTCTCCCATGCAGGTGCAGGGTCCCAAGGCTTTGGGCCGTCCTCAACTGCTTTCCCAGGCCACATGCAGGGAGCTGGTTGGGAAGTGGGGAAGACAGAACATGAATCTGCGCTCATATGGGATCCCAGTGCATGCAAGCTGAGGACTTTAGCCACTAGGCTACTGCCCTGGGCCCCCTTGCCTAAATCATACCCTCTTGATTGCACAAGCTAGCAGAAATTTCCCAGGAAACCCAACTCACCCTTGAACTAAAGTCAAGGGAGAATTTATCACTTGGACATTAAACGTTAGAGCCAAAAGTTTGGTTTGTGATTTTCAAAAGCATAAGATGTAGCGGGTTGGGCCCAGCGCGGTGGCGCAAGTGGGTAAGTCCTCGCCTTGCATGCCCGGGATCCCATATGGGCGCCGGTTCTAATCCCGGCAGCCCCGCTTTCCATCCAGCTCCCTGCCTGTGGCCCGGGAAGGCAGTCGAGGACGGCCCAAAGCTTTGGGACCCTGCACCCGCGTGGGAGACCCAGAAGAGGCTCCTGGCTTCAGATCGGCATAGTATCAGTCGTTGCACTCACTTGGGGAGTGAATCATCAGACGGAAGATCTTCCTCTCTGTCTCTCCTTTCTGTATATCCGCCTTTCCAATGAAAAAATAATAAAAATAAATCTTAAAATATATATATGTATATATTTTATTTTTATTAGAAAGTCAGATATACATATTGGAGAAGAGACAGAAAAAAGATCTTCCGTCCAAAGATTCACTCCCCAAGTAGCTGCAACAGCTGGTGCTATGCTGATCTGAAGCCAGGATCCAGGAACTTTCTCCAGGTTTCCCACATGGGTGCAGGGTCCCAAGGCTTTGGACCATCTTCAATTGCTTTCCCAGGCCACAAGCAGGGAGCTGGATGGGAAGTGGAGCTGCTGGGGTTAAAACTGACATCCATATGGGATCCCGGGCATTCAAGGCAAGGACTTTAGCCGCTAGGCCATGGTGCCACTGAGCACCGTAAATTCTTGTGCAAAAATCTACATGGAAGTTACCTTCTTAGGCATTTTAAAGGATCCAGTTAGATGGCACACAGTAGTCATACTGTCTTGGCAACTGTCACCAGCATCTCCAGAACTCATCATCTGAAACTGAAACTCTGTAGCCATTAAACATGAACCCTCCATCCTTCCCACACCCCTCCCAGGCCCTAATGAGCACCATTGTACTTTCTGTTTCTGGGACTTTGACTCCAGATAGTCAGATATGATTCATGGAATCATGCAACTTCTGCTCTTTACATCTGGCTTGTTTCACTTACCCTAATGTCCTTGAGGTTCATCCACATTGTACCACATGCATTCCAATACATGCTTGGGGCCCTGGCCACAGCCACTGCTACCAC